CAGATCAGAGGCCACATCAAGGATGCAGGGGCTCATGCGGGGCTCAACATCACTTGCGTGCTCACTTGTATATGGCTCCATCTGAAACCGAAATCGACCACATTTTGGTTGTCGCTGCAAATGATTGCTTTAGATTTGTGCATCGGGCCGGGGTTTATTGGATTATCAATGATTCGGCTGAGATATGAATGTAGATAGCCGCATATTCACGTCGTGTTTGTGCCAGCTGCAACGCAACCATATCTTTTCCCCTCAAAATAGATGTACTTTCGGCTTCCCGTATCCCACTGAACGGTACATCTCCTTCGCCGACGGCAGCGGAACCGGGCCATTCTGCACGGAATCGAGGTCTGCCCAACGTTGCGTCGTACCACTGGCATGGGTTTAAATAAACCCCGCACTCTAAGTTCGGAGAAGGAATTGACACCGCTGTGGCGTCGATTGATATTTAGTGTGACCTGGCGCTCTATGGACCCGGCACCTGCCCAGTCATGTCAGATCACCATCCGCCAGAATAGACAGAGGACTGCTGGAACGTGTTCGGGCAAGATAGGCGGCGGGCGTCGGCCAACGAAAGGAAAGTGCCGCCATATTTGAGTCGCTGGTACCCTGTTGCTCGACGCGATAGTCGCTCTTCCCAATTCGGGTGCCCAGCGATTCTCACATAATCGCCGTCAAAATCACACGCGCATGGAGTCCGCCCTCGCATGCGTTGAGATAATGTGTGCACGTTGGAAGACCCAACCATCGAGCGATGTAAAGTTTCCAGTATGGATGTCAGCTATGGAGTTTCTTCTCGCTAAGACGATTTTGGTAGCGCCGTTCGCAGGTTTCCGGAGAGGTAACTATACCCATGCCTATGCTGACAATAGTTTCAAATCTCGGCTCGGGTCGGCGTGCCCGTCGTCTCGATGCGGTTCATGGCGTGTAGCATCCCAATGCCCAGCGCCGTGGAGGCGGCCATAGAAACGAAACGAACCAACAGCATCAGGCTGGAAAGATGCGCTTCAATACGTCCTATTTATTTAATTTTTTATGTTTGTGTTACATGCCTGCCATTGTCAATGCCATAGATGACAGATAGTAGGCTGCTATCTTCGAATGAAGTGTAAACCCGTCATAAATAGTAAGTATTCAAAAAAGCCTTCCCCATTTTTGAGCTACGTTCATTTTCGTTTCGTAAAGGCTGCTAGATTGGTGTGAGATGCTGGCATGGTAGTCCATGTCAAAGACGGTCTGAAAACAAAATGTTTCATCACATGGTTTGGGTCCGATGTAAAAAGACAGGATTGACGCGTCACGGACGTTTGATCTGTATTGCTCGCAGTGCCTCTAGAGGCGTTGATGTACTCATGTGCCGATACCTCACTGTTGTGCTCATGCTGTTGCTGGCAGGCCCTCCCGTTTTCTCCCCAAGTATGTTATAATGTTCCGAGTGATACGTTCTGTTTTTGCGTTTGAGCTGTTTGGCCAACTTTGGGCAAAAATAAGAGATAACGTCACGCGACTATAATGCTCTGAATAGTGGAGCGTTATCGACGTGTCTGCGCGCTGTCCGGCCCGTAACCAGGCGGGCCCGCTGGGTGCCCGGGCATCCCCTGAAATTTGACATGCAGCCCAGCTACGTTCCGTATAACCTCTAGTTGGGCGTGGGTGTCAAGAAGGTTCAATAAAGCCTTTTTTGTGTTGAGATTTGCAACTCATTTGAAGAAAAACAGGTGAATGATATGACTGTCTCAGCCGGGAAAAAATGGGTCGCTTTGAAACCCTCTGCTCTCTTGCCCTCTTGTCGGGACGCTGCCCCCCCCCCCCCTCCTCTGGGAGTTTGTTCTGGCTATGTTCCTGCTGTCTTATTGGTGCATGTTTCAGAATAATTCAGGAAATTAGTGACCCTTCATTACCAAGCCTTATAGAAACAACGTTATCATGGATCATGTCACATTCATGTGGCTGCGCTCGGTGCGTCATTTGTCATTCGATCCACACGCTCTCCTGTCGTCGGTGCTACCATGCTGTCCTTACTTGTCCATTAATGGGCTGACATTCTTGACAAATAAGCATTTTGTGGTGCAAGCACCATGCCTATTTTTCAGTTCATCTGTATAACTCCTGTTCGGGTCACGTGCTACCGAGAAAGACAAAAATGTCGCCGCCAGCCCGCAAGCTCTCGACACTTCCGCGTCCGGACCGCGCGCACCAGGCACCACACCGTTCCTCAGCGACGCAGCCCTCACCCAGCGACACGTATCACATTCCGTGGCCGTGACCCGTGCCGCGCCGGCCGAACCGCCCGCGGCCGCGGCCCCGGCGCCAAGCATTAGCGCGCGCAGTCGGCCGTCACTGGGCGGCCGATGATTGATCCCGGTTCAAGTGGCGCGCTCCCGGAACTGGCTGCCCCTCCCTCGGCGTCCCCCGGCCGGCGGGGCGGGCCACGCCCAGGGCAGCGGGCCGGACTGCCGCCCCGCCGCCGCCAGCGCCACGGCACGGCACGGTGGGAAGGGAGGGGTGTCGCCACCCGCCGTGTAGCGGACCGCGGGGGGAGGATGAAAGCGGTCATTGGCACTGCGGACCACGCCGCGGAGAACGACAAGAAAGGCGCATACTAGCGTGGAAAGCATTATATCAATGGCTTAGTGAAGAGGGCTTTTAATTGGATGTTTTGTCCACCGTAGGCTGATTTTAATACATTACCGCGAAAACTAACCGAAAATGCCGGTATTCCAAGCGGGTAAAGAGCACACGCCTAAAGCAAACATCAGTTAGCTCGCCAAGCTAATGCCGCTATTTGCTGAGCTACAGCAATAAAAAAGAAATAATACCGTCCGAACATCTAGTCTCTGTCAATTAGGTGCATGATCGCAAACACACTCCTTCAGGTGCCAACATATTTTAAGTGCCATAAACACAAGGTTTGCGAAGAAGTGACAGGTGCAATGTGACAGTAAGGTGTGGAAAGATCGCGGACAGTCACACCGCCATGCGTCACTATGACGTCACGTTACGGAGGGAAGATGCGGCAAAACCAAGCCGACCGAGGCTGGTGGTCACAAAAGTATGGTTACGTAGCACATACGGTATACCGCGAATGCCGATGTATGGTCCCATTACGGTGAACATTAACGGTCTTGGCGGTCTATAGTCCCACCTTGACCTTTGTCCCACCTTGACCTATAGTCCCACCTTGACCTTGTCCCACCTTTAGGCCGGAGAAACAATGGACAAAATGCGTGAAATAATCGTACGGTTCACGGGCACAGTTTTTCTCATAATCATCTCCTTAGTGCTAACGTCTCGTCTAAAAAATTCTGTCGAGTAATGAAATAAAAATTATGCTGTTCCGATGCGAAAGTTAATCCGTGACAGCGAGACTTTTACCACCGAGTTCACAGATCTATGCCAGCAGCAATGAAATAAAGCTCGTCAGAAGTGGTTTGCGAAGCGAATAATTCCGGTTTGGTTGTTAATTATTAATTTATACATGACGCCAACGGTCGGGTTTGTCCTCACGTTAAAGGAAGTATGCCACCCTTTTGTACTTTTCGCTTATTGTCAGATCAGACTCGTCCGATTTGGTCGGTAACACCAGCTCATCTCAGCGCCGACAACAGAGCCATTCCATCCCCGAGCGGCGCCAGCATAGGTCACGGCTCCCCCGTCCTGGGTCGCCATTGCACCCTGGCGGCACCGGGAGCGACACCAGCACAGGCCATGGGCTTTCTGCCTCGCCCCTGCACCCTGGCGGCACCGGGAGCGACACCAGCACTGGTCATGGGCTTTCTGCCTCGCCCCTGCACCCTGGCGGCACCGGGAGCGACACCAGCACAGGTCATGGGCTTTCTGGGTCGTCCCTTCACCTTGGCAGCACCGGGGTCGGCACCAGCACAGGCGATGGGCTTCCTGGGTCGTCCACCCCGGCGACCCCGAGGGCGGCACCAGCACAGATCATGGGCTACCCCGGTCGTCCCTTCACCCCGGCGGCGCCCGGGTGGCACTTGCAGCGGCGCCAGCGCAGGGCATAAGACCTCCAACCTGGGTCCCCACGCGGCCCCGGCGACATCAGCATAGGCCCCAGCGTCAGAACCAGCTCAGGTCAGGGCCCCTTTCCCCGGGTCTTCCACCCCAGCCGCATCAGCGGAGGCACCAGCGTTAGAGTTAGCACAGGTCACGGCCCTCTTCCCCGGGTCGCTCTCCACCCCAGCCACATCAGCGGAGACACCAGCGTTGGAACCAGCACAGGTCAGGGCCCCCTTCCCCGGGTCGCTCTCCACCCCAGCCACATCAGCGGAGACACCAACGTTGGAACCAGCACAGGTCAGGGCCCCTTTCCCCGGGTCTTCCACCCCAGCCGCATCAGTGGGGCACCAGCGTTGGAGCCAGCACAGGTCACGGCCCCCTTCCCCGGGTCGCCCTCCACCCCAGCCGCATCAGTGGGGCACCAGCGTTGGAGCCAGCACAGGTCACGGCCCCCTTCCCCGGGTCGCCCTCCACCCCAGCCGAATCAGCGGAGACACCAACGTTTGAGCCAGGACAGGTCACGGCCCCCTTCCCCGGGTCGCCCTCCACCCCAGCCGCATCAGCATCGGCACCAGCATCGGAACCAGCACAGGTCACGGCCCCTTCCCCGGGTCGCCCTCCACCCCAGCCGCATCAGCGGAGCACCAGCGTTGGAGCCAGCACAGGTCACGGCCCCTCTCCACGGGTCGCCCTCCACCCCAGTCGCATCAGCGGGGCACCAGCGTTGGAGCCAGCACAGGTCACGGCCCCTCTCCCCGGGTCGCCCTCCACCCCAGCCGCATCAGCGGGGCACCAGCGCGCGCCCCGCCATCGGCAGGCGTTGCCGCCGGCGCGCCGCCACACCAACCGGAAGCGGGCCTGCGGGGAAGCGTAGCGGAACCAGCGCGCGAACAGTGACCCAAATGGCGCGGGGAGCGCGGCGTCAGACGAGCGCCGCGACCAGAGCCGCGCCGCCGCGTCCGCTGCCGGTCGCGTCGCCCCCGCCCGCCGCGCCCGCGCCGCGTTCGTCGGAGTGGAGACGGTCGGAGACGCCCGCGCGGCATGCGGCGGATCAGAGAGGCGAGATGACGACTGGAAAGAAGGTGAGGCCCACGAGGGGCGGGGAGGTGGGGGACGTCTAGGACTTGGTTGTCTGTCCTCCCGGCATGGGGAGAGGGTGGGCTAGTGATGTAGTATGAATGGTTGGAATAGTCCCTGGCTCTGTCTCTTGGTGAACTGGGTGGCTGGCCGCCGTTAGTTTACGCTGGCTACGCTTCCGTATGTTTTCGTGCTGTACTTTGTGATGAGTCCCGTAAGCTCTCTGTTTTTACAGAGTAAACTCTGTGTTTACTTTGTGATTAGCAAGCGTGGTGGCGACAAACACCTTCTAATCTTGCTTACTGTTGGATAAAACTTGAGTTGATGACCAGGCGCAGAGGAGCTCAGATTTGGCTGGGGGCACGTTCTTGTCACGCGGACTTAAGATGTAAGGACAAACTTTGCAGACCGTCATTTATATTCGTAGTTCGTCGACTCTGTTCAAAATTACGCACTCGACTTCCTTTCTCGAGGTACAAAATGTCCGAAAATGTACAGCGAGAGCTCTGGGTCTGATGTTTACGAAGAAATGCATTGAGGATGAAATTCAGACGCATACAATCCAACGTTAACTCAACAAAATGTGTCAAGAGCCAGTATGCAATCGTCAACAGGAGTGATTTCTGAATTTCACACACCTGCAATCCAATCCACCTCATCCCTGGACCTGCATAGGACCGTCCCAGTAACGGGTGCCATCCGCAGCGCGGTGGTGTATGTGCAGCGGCGGATGACGTCGGTCTTTGCCGACTCACATCGCTCCTCGCCAAGACGATCTAGACACGTAAATGTTCCCCTAACCGTTAGGCTTTTTCCCGGGTTCGTCCGCCTCCCCGTTACGCCGTTCGCCACGCGTGCACGCATGTCCGCGTTCGTATGACCACATATCACCAGTCTGACAACCGATGAGATAGGACATTTAAGAGAATGGATCCTCCGAAAAATATTGATATAAACACGTAGAAGATTGAGATGCACTTACCTCATTCATATGGCATATTTCTTTTGGTCGAAAGTTTCGTCTTTGGGCCGTAAAAATTATGCACAATTTAAGCCATAACTAGGGCCCAGTCGGAGATGAAACAAACACGGGGCAACATCTAACTGAACTGCCATGATGACAACATGTTAGTTTAGCCCATAACATTAAGACCAAAGACGAAGTACAAAGCCTATCTTTAAATTTAGGCTCTGTTTACGCAGGCAGTATGAAACAGGGGCCTAATTTGGAACCAAAGCTGAATGCTCAAATGCTACGATAAAAGGAAGTCGAAGTGAAATCCGTTTTCATTGCCGTCAGGACCATCAAAGCCATTCACCTCGGTGACGCTTTTGTTTGGTTATCATGCACCTTTCTGTTATTTCACATTTTCACTACTTCATCATTTGTTGGCATGAAACCAACAACACAAGCGTAACATGACGAATGGTACAAGATGACAATAAGAAAGCTTCCACAGCAAAGTTTACCAGCTATTTGGTAGGGCCTGACGGCGAATGACTGGTTTCACCCGCCGTTTGTCCTATTTTCTGTGCATTTTATGCTTACGTGCCTATAAAATGCAGCGAGACCAAGTTAGGCACCGCTCGAAATGGCTGGCATGAAAAGGGCATTAATGCATCAATTTGTGTTGGCTTTGCCCAAACATTAAATTGCTCGTCCATTCGAATACGTCTACACTAAAATCGGCCTTTTACCACCTCAAAAGGTGCACTATCCGTTGGTGAGCCAAACAACTCAGCCAAAGGCATTTGATAATTGCACATGTGCCTTGGGCGCGAAATTGGAAACACCTTTCTAATCTAGATGGAAAATTGCCTCCCAAATCTCGACGGCAAACATTTCGCGATTTCCAGCATGCGGCCTCGTAAAGGGAAATAGCAACTATCTCGATTAACATTCTGAAACACCGCATGCATTCTGATAGGATTAGCGGTGTTGTCCACATTTCACCCAATTCCCACGCGCCAAACAGTATTTAATCAACATGACATGCTTTTTGCAACAAGGTCCGGGATTGTCCAGCTCTTTGCACAGTGGCAGATTATTCAAATCTCCCGCTTTTGACCACGGGAGGTAATCTATTCTTTCGAAAAGCTCAGTGCTATGCCGACCCCGCCTACCTCCCTTTCATGCGCCGCTCATGGTGTGGCTGATGCCCTCGAACCGATCTCGTCATCTGAGTTGGTACTTCCAGTAAGAATTTCAAGCATGCGTTAAGCGGCAAAGCAATTCCCTAGAATCTTCGACGCACCCACACAAATTCGCACCAACATTAAAAATCCCGGAAACACCCCTGCCCTTTGATGCACTCCTTTACTCGCGCTGATTTGTCAGCATCGGTCCTGAGCACATGGATCCTAATCAGCGAGCAGCGATCTGTCCACCAGCAATCACCGGTCGCTTTCGATGCATCCTGGACCTTGTACCTGTCTCTTGCATTTCCTAGATGAAGGGCCCAGTGCATGTTCCCAGCGCGCACGCGCCAATCCCCGCGAGACGCAGTGAAGCGCCGCAACCGCAGCGACGCACCTGTCGGTGAGAGTGATCCCAGACCACGTGACCGGTGCCGCGTGACGCTGTGGCTGTGCCGCCCCGCCCTTGGCATTGAGCGGTCGGATGCGCCGCTGCGCGTCTTCAGGAGGCGTGACGGTGCGGTGACGTGACTCACGCCTCCCCGCACCTCTGGCGGCCGCCGGAAGTGGGGCACGCGTCTGCAGGAGCCCGGCTGCGGGTCCGCCATGGGGGCGCTCGATGCTCCTCGGCTCCGCAAACCTGAGCAGATAATCTTAGATAACAACGTCAATCATCACGAGTTCGGTTGTTGTGAAGTGTAAGCATATGTGCTGAGCGCATGCTGGGAATAACTCATATGAATATAACAAGTTGGCAAGGATTGTTTTGCGAATTCAGGAATCTGATCCGACAACAAACAGTCGCATTTCGTGGCAGCCCAAGTCCCTCCTGTTTATTTTGCGGTAGGCCCCATTCACACATCCGCGACCCCTCGCAAAGTGGCCTGACGCCGGAAGCCGTGGCGCGGAAGGCGATGTCCGCTGCCAGGGCTGTCGCTCGGACGCGTGCCCTGCCGGAACGGGCGGCCAGCGTCCCCCTGGGCGGGGCGCGGTGGGCCATCACGTGCGGGCGGCTCCCCTCCCGGGCCGCGGACGCGCCCCACCCCACCGCCTTTTTGCCGGTCAGCGGCCGCGGACGTGCGCCGGCCGGGGCGGCGGCCCGCCCGGCGCGCCGCCGGACGTGGCGGGACGGGCGGGTAGACGGGTGGACGGCGCCGTGCGGCGGCGTGGGACGCGTGGAGTGGAGTGAAGGCTCGGGACGCAAGACGTGTGGACCATGGGGAAGTTGTCTGGGGTCAGGTGGACCGGGGCGGATATCCGGGGATACGGGACATGTGGACGGATCCGGGGCTCGGTGGCGTGGGACATATGGACTGGAGCGGAGGTTTCGGGGTTAGGGGTCGTGCGGATTGGAGCAGAGGTGCAAAACCAGTGCCCTTTAGCGATTGACCCAATCGCAATGATTGGCCGATATGTTTTGTAAACAGCCCCGTCTGAGTTCTTATTTCGTATCTCCAGCACCGAAAACGCATGGTCATTTTCTGAGTTAGGTACGTTACGTGACCCGGTCCACATTAGACTCTAAACAAAGCCTTGGCCGATAGCATGTGCTGACTTTTATACCCCAAGACGCTCCAGCTCAATATTTCCAGAGATTAATTCGAAACGTGCTCTGGACTGAGATGCACACGGTGCTCGTAAAGTAACATAATTTACTAAACATATTTCGTCAAGTAAAACTAGACGAGTTAACCTCAAAAGGTGTAGTAAACGGCCTTCGAAGAACGGCACTGTTCGGAAGCAATTAGACGTGCTTTTCAAGGGCATGCTGGCTGCGGCCTTTTGAGGGTTTTATCAACGCTACATGCTTCACATGCAGCAGATTCGTTGTAATTCACATCGGCAACGAATCATTAACGACAGAAGCTCTGTACTCAAAGCCAGACACAGCTATACACACATTCCCGTCACGCACGAAGATGCATAGTTGCTTTGTTCTTCCAAGGTCGTCACTATTCCGTAAGCGTGACTCGTAGTAATCATAAGGCAGTCAGTGTAATGAGCCTTGCGCGGTGTCCTTTAACCTTGCTGACTATGGTTACGGTCCGTGCAAAGGCGCCAGGGGAGTTCTGAACACTGATGCAGCTCACGTTACCACGCTGAAACACTACCCACGAAGAATGCAGCGTCCGTATTGATGTCCGGAACGCAAAACGCCTAATAGGTGGTCCCAATCCTAACGACATCAGCAGCTCCATGCATGCCTCTCGATAGTCAGTTTCGTCACTGTTAAACAGCAATCGCTTTATGATGAGGCACACTAGAACGCTGCACAGAGGGAAATGTCGCCTTTGGAGCGCATACAATGTGACATTCATTCAAAAGCCCTTCATCCATTGTTCAGCCATACCGACGCATCTGTGGTCCGTTGTACGGATGGTAAACTAGTGATCCAATGACACTTGGTACGGAGCGTGTTCCTGACATGACCTGATCTACAACGAAAGGTCACCTAGCAAGTGGCAAAGACGGTCGACCTGCCGCGAGGCGACCGTGTTGTAACATTGTATACAGCACGAAAAAGGCCTACCGCACTCACGTGTGATCAAAAGGGCCGGACACGCAGTGATGCCATGTACTGGAGCAATGCGGCATGAATGATAGTTCCAGGGCTCACTTAACAAGGTCTGACAGGACCCTAAGTCATCTGAACAAACCATTCGAAACAAAGTTTCTGAACGAGCGAAGTTGGCCGGTTTTTGTTCTTGGTGTATGATGTTATCTATGCTACAAATGAAACGATTCCTTAGTTCGGAATGACTTGAATGAACAAGACCTAGAATGCAATCGCCAGCGATTGCCAATGCAAATTAATCACAAGGAGATCCTCATTTGGTGTTAGGCTGATGCCAGTGTGTCCACTGCGGTGGTAGTATTCCAAATTAAGCAATGTCTCCGCTGTGCAGATTACCTCTTTGAAAATCTATACTATGAGCCTTAATCGCCTGTAAGAAAGCGTTGCCTCTCCATTATCCCCCACCGCCTGCGCGTGATGCGCTCACGGTGCCGGAGACTTGCTTCGAACACAAGACACCATCGGCCGGTTTAGTGAGAGCACTGGCGTTTAATTCTCTCGCTGGGTTCGCGACACAGCGTGAGGGAAGTCAAAGGGTAATGAGCTGTGCCCATATTGCCCACAATATGACACTCATGTCTGCATGGTGATTTGGAAGATATATACCCTCGACGCTGAGGGGATCAGGTAGACGCCTCTCGCTAATCACACTTCATGTTGCTTGCACAATGGTTGCGTTTGCGTGCACCGTAGATGGCACCTGGACAGGGACGATGGGTGGTGTAGCGACAAGAACTACCGGCAAGTGGCGCCGCCTCACTGCGCGGCCGTTAGTGTAGTTTTGTCGACCCTTTTGCTTTCGGGGTCAGATAATGTAGCGAGCAATGCGACTTTTGACGTGCGCATATGGGAGCCACCGGTTTCATCAACGGCGATAGTAGAAACGGCTTTAGTAAGAGGGATATATTTACTTTTTAACAAGCTTTTCTGTCTCCAAAATGCAACATTCGTGGCATAAAAGCTGTGAAGTTCGTGCTGAGCAACTCTATGTCAGCTCAAACCTTGTGAGACACATTCGGGACGTCGTTTAAGTGCTTAGATGTATGCGGTGTGAGCATAGTCCGTGTGGTTCAAAATACATTGTGATAATTTAGTATTCGGAGCGTCAAGTGATATATGACGATAGCTCTGCTGTCGCTTCTAGATGTGTTATTTTCTGGCTCCGTATGCCCGCGTGCTTACTTCGCTGGATGAAACTGTTGTGTTTGTTCCAGAAACAAAAACGGTATGTAAGAGAAAATACAAACGTCTCAAAGCCCTTTAATCCGCTGTCGATAACACCTCGTATGTGGTGAAGAAGAGACTTGCTATAGGCTGGTCATGACAGGGCTTGACCAACACTCGCCCATCTACTACACATCTACCCGTCAAGCCCAGATAAAGGTGTGCGCTGTTGGTGGTGATAAAATGATCGGGGACTGAAGCTGCGGAGAGAGTGGAGAAGCTCAGGCGGAGAGGGTGGAGAAGCTCAGGCGGAGAGGGTGGAGAAGCTCAGGTGGAGAGGGTGGAGAAGCTCAGGCGGAGAGGGTGGAGAAGCTCAGGCGGAGGGGGTGGAGAAGCTCAGGCGGAGAGGGTGGAGAAGCTTAGGCGGAGAGGGTGGAGAAGCTCAGGCGGAGAGGGTGGAGAAGCTCAGGCGGAGAGGGCGGAGAAGCTCAGGCGGAGAGGGCGGAGAAGCTCAGGCGGAGAGGGTGGAGAAGCTCAGGCGGAGAGGGTGGAGAAGCTCAGGTGGAGAGGGTGGAGAAGCTCAGGCGGAGAGGGTGGAGAAGCTCAGGCGGAGAGGGTGGAGAAGCTCAGGTGGAGAGGGTGGAGAAGCTCAGGTGGAGAGGGTGGAGAACCTCGGGTGGAGAGAGCCGTTTGCCCCACGACCGTACACGATGTGGGGCTCGAGCTTGACTACCGTCCAGTGGGTTCTATTTCCTTGCGTTGTTTTGCGCTAGATTTGTTAACTCCCAGTAGCCTGAGAGATCGAACGCGTTGTTCAACCCCCAAAACTCTTATTGAAAACTGCGGTGGCGAATCCAGCCCAAATATGTACTTCATTAGCAAATACCAAGCAGCAGACCACACATGCCCGTACGGCCGCGGGTATCGCTCAGCTCCTTCCCCAGCTCCTCCTGTCGGCTCCCTGGGTACGCCCCTGCCCCTGGAAACGGCATGACATCCCGCACGGTCCCCCGCCGAGGCCGTGATGCGCTTGTGACGTCACAGCCAGGCGCGGCCTCGAGTTGGCCGGGCGCTAATACCCTTTGACCTCAAAACAGAGCGGGTGATCTCTCGCATCGGCCAGCGCAGGGCTGGAGTTAGGAGTTAGAGTTAGTTAGAGTAAGGGCTGGTAGGAAAGGCGCAGCATAGCAAGACGTCGGAAGAGGACTGTTTCCTTCCCTGCATTTCAGTAGCGTTAACCACACCTCAGATATGATGCCATAGCAAACTTGAGTTCAGTTCGCTCGGTAAACAATTTTATTTTTGTTCTAGCAAAGGCATAATGTACCAGCAAGTTTCTGATGTGCGTATGCATTAAACAGTCCAAAATTATATTCAGTATGCGGGATTTGCACGAAGCTCCTAGTCTCGGCTAGCATATAGACGTGCAACACTCACACAGAACGCACCCAAACTGCACAGGATTTGCAAATTTTGCAGAACTTGGTCCGGTACCGTACTAACGGTAACTGCACCGCATATCTGCACATGCGCCCGGCTTCGCTCCCGCATCCGGTCCCGTGACGCTCTGGTGGCGACCGCTAGCCGACTGGTCAACATAGCAACATGAACCGTCACGGTCTTGACGTGCTCAGCGCTCGTTGCGCTCGATAAGTGGCGTGAGCATTCTTGAAACTTAATTTAGGTGAAACAGGTCACGGTTTTGTGCGAGGTGTATGCCGTTTCCCTTTGAGAGTGTACTTCTGACCGCTAGGCTTGTTTATGTTTCGAACCTGGCACTTACACCGGCAAGCACGTGTAAGTTGGATGCTTTCGATTTACGTGATAACATTACACATACGAGCGAATGGGACGTGAGTGAAGTGAAGAGTGAAGATAGACGAGCTAATGGAACGAGTTTGGAACATATTTTCAGATTCACTATTGATGGGAACTCTCATTCACACCAAGCATGTTGTGTTGGCCACCTTTCTATTGCCTGACATCCAATCTGTGTGGTACATGCGTGTGTACTCCTGCTCCCGAACTGCTCTTTTCAAGTGACCAACATCAGCGGGTCATGATCTCAGTTGTATCTCATAGCGTTCAACTGACAATGGTCTCTGTCTCTTATTCCCTACCTCTTGGACAACAGTCTGCGCCCGTTCGCTTCTCCCCTTACGTCAGTGCATCACACCAGCCCCACGCCCCGCCACCGCCACGTCACTCTGCCCTGCCCCTGCCCTCTGCGGGCCCAGTCTGTTTCTGGCCACGCTCTGTGCGCTCCCCGCCTGCCTGCGGTCGCCGCCGGGCGCGGCCCGGCCCGGCCAGCGCAGCTCGCCGGCCGCCGCGGCCGCGCGGCCGTCATTACCGCGGGCGTGGCCGCCGGCAGAGTTAGACAACCGTGAAATACGAGCACTGATCGGCGCGGACGTTGACTTTGGCGGCGATGGTTCACTGCACGGGACCGGTCCCCTCGCTCCCGGTCAACGCCGCGGGCAGCCTTGGCGCCGGGCCGAGATCGTGAGCCTCTGCTGACGGTCTCAGATGCGTCGAATATCAGCCCGTGACCGGTTGGGTGTGTTGATGGTGACCCATGCTTACGCTGCCCTTTCCGTGCCTTTGCAGGTGGGGCGGCGGAAAGACGACATGGTATGGAGACTGTGGACAACACTTCTAGTCGTCATCTGTTCAGTTGACATCTCAAATGGTGAGTGCCCGCCGGAATAAGCAACTATACATAGCACACGCGGTGAGGATGTGGAGTAAGCGAGGTTGTACGGACCACACATAGCTGAAATTTACTTCGCATCAACCTCCAGCCCATAAGAAGCACCGTTCCACATGCGACATCAAAACTGGAACAAAGGCAAAGCACATCCAAACATCGATTCCCATCCAGCCTGGCTATGGTTCAGTTACCGCGCGTTCGTGCATCAATCTTCGCTTCCAAACCAACTCGCTGGGAGAGTTGCAGACGTCCGCAACCCCGCACCCCGCTACCATAGCGGGCGGAGCCGGGCAGAGCGGCTCTGGGCGCAAACCGGCACGTCACGGCTGCGGTGGCGGCAGCGGCGGCCAGGCCGGATCAGCCGGATCGCCGCCCCGCCGGCTGCCCCCGCTCGTTACCGAGCCGTGTGTCATCAGCGCAAGGCCACTCCAGCGTCCGCGCTGGGGCGGACCCCTCCCTCCCCCCCACTGCCCCGCCCCACACGATCGGCAGCTGCGGAGACATGGAGAGTTGGGACTGGCCAGTGTAAGCCTGTCACAGACATTCCGGGTTAGCCGAGGAAGGGTCTTGTCGTCCTCGTCCTTGTCAGTCAATGCATATGCAGCCTCTAACCGTTGCTGGAGCTCACATACCAAACTCTCCTGAAGCTCAATTCTTTCAAAATACTTTTTGCTTTCCGATCTCGGGCTTCTGACCAGGTCGGGCCGATGCTCCGACACCGTTGACATTCCACCAGGCCGCCAAATGGGCTCGATCGGAGCCGTACGCGACATCCGGCTCCGTGTTGTGGCGTTTGGCTGCCGCGGGACGGCTTAATGGGCGCGGATCCGGCCGCGCTGAGCGGATATCCGTGCCGGTGAACGGCCAGATCCGTATGGATCGCTGATCGTGACCTCAGCTCAACTCTGGATTGTGTGACAGGCCGCAGATGTGTGGACCTATGTTCCCGATGTGTGTAGCGATCTTACTGATAATTATGTGGTAGCCTCTTGTGCTCATCTCCAATTTCTTAACAACAGAAACCGACAACAGAAACCGCAACAGACATCTTCCATGAACTTCCCAAAGGTCAGAGAAGGTCGCTGACCTGGTATGGCCCGGATCAACCTTTTTTAGAAGCATATAACCCAACGTAATCCTTGACGCCGATTCAGATCTTAAAATAATCTTAGCAATCTCATAGGTATTTGGTCATTCTGACCCTCTAACGTTGAAACAAGGTCACTAGCCTGAAGTGAGCACCAGTGACCTCTTGCTTAGAACATGTATCCAGGTTAAAGACCGTTCCATGATGAGACCTGGGGGCACTTTGGAAAGCGCTCTGGGTTTGACCTTGTTTGACCTTATTTGACCCCAAATTAATGACCTAGGAGGCTCAAATACTGACACAAACGAGTTTTCCTACAGGATCATTCACCCTGTAAATTTGGCATCTTCGGCTCTCTTAGTTTTTTTTTTAGATCGCAGGGGGGAGTCAAGTGACCTTCGTCCAGGCGTAAGGTATTCAACCGTCCACACCCGTGCGCCTGTTCAGGTGATGATGCGGATGAAGCACTGCGAGCTGTGCCTGTTCTGCTCTGTGGGGAACAACTCGAACAATAATGTTTTATGCAGCTACATATAATATATGTCATCGCATGGCTCATGCGCCCTTTTACAAGGTCGCTGCAGCCGCTGAGACCTCCAGGACCCGTCCCGTGTGGCGGGTGCCTTCTGACGACCCTTTCCCGCGTGGCAGGTGTCCTCTAACGACCCTGTTCCGCCCCCAGCGCAATGTTTCGGCGGCACGCTGACCTTCGAGAAGACGGTGGGTCGCACGTTCCAGCCGTCGGGTGCCGAGAAGCGTGACCTGCTGGTCAACACCAACTCTCCCGTGCTGCGGGACTGCACGGCGATCTGCAGCCAGGCCACCTACTGCAGCGGCTTCGTGCTCGGTGAGGTTACGGGCCGGGCGCGGCCGTCCCCCATCCCTCCCCCCTCCCCCCCCCCCCCCCCCCGCCCCCACTGACCCTCCGGTCACCGACGGTGGAAGCGTCCGCCTCCTGCTGAGGGACGTACGGCTCATGTGAATGGGACAGGAGCTGGGGAGCAGGGATGTTTAGTTCGTAGGTCTTTACCATTTATTTTGCACGGTCGCCATTTGATCACAACAGTCTGAAAGGCTCAATCCCGCTTCCATCATCAAGCGGTCGTGACCCAATCCAATCCAATTCCATGTGAATGGAACAAGAGCTGGGGAGCAGGGATATTTAGTTCGTAGGTCTTTACCATTTATTTTGCACGGTCGCCATTTGATCACAACAGTCTGAAAAGCTCAATCCCGCTTCCATCATCAAGCGGTCGTGACAAGCGTAAGTACTCGTTTGTTGGGTGGGCGCCGCCAAGCCCAATACTTAACTTCGAGACATTCTTCGCAAAGCAAACGCGGCCACATGCTGTACCGCCGAACACCAACGTACGGTGGGACAGTCTAACGGGACTGCCCCGCTGCTCCTTGGGAGCTGGGGGATTTGAGCGAAATTCTTCAGAAAACAGACGCTGTCTCAGTCACACACCCGGTATGCGGTGCAAGGGTTCAGTATATCGGCTCGGAACCGTCAGACTGCAGTGGACCAGCATGGGTGCTTCTGTAACAGTGCGTGAACTCATCTATGCCGGTTTTATGTCAACACCGAGGCAGGCTTGCGTGCATAAGAAGCTGGTGCTTGACCGGAACCGTACGGTAATCCCTGGTTATCGGAATCAATTTTCTGTACAAAATGCGGTATTTCTATCACGGAGCCAAGCAAAATTCCAAAACATATCCTACCTCAAGCGTGCGTAGATGTGCGTAATGTGTGCGCAGATGCACACGGCGAGCCTGTGACAACACGCCCACCATTACACACCTGTGAACTAGCCTGCACTTGCAGACACCACCACCCCCACCCTGGCCAGGCTGCTCCTGTTCCCACGCGTGACACCATCCCGGACGTTCGTTCCAGACTATGAGGAGGGCAGGTGCGTGTCGTACGACCTGGAGTCCGCCACTCGAGAGAGTGATCTGATCGACAAAGAAGGCACCAGCTACTACGAGGAGATCTGTCTCCGTGGCGGTGAGATCTGTCTCCGGGGCGGTGAGATCTGTCTCCGTGGCAGTGAGATCCGTCTCCGGGGCGGTGAGATCTGCGATCTGTCTCCGGGGCGGTGAGATCTGTCTCCGGGGCGGTGAGATCTGTCTCCGGGGCGGTGAGATCTGTCTCCGGGGCGGTGAGATCTGTCTCCAGGGCAGTGAGATCTGTCTCCGGGACGGTGAGATCTGTCTCCGGGGCGGTGAGATCTGTCTTCGGGGCGGTGAGATCTGTCTCCGGGGCGGTGAGATCGTCTCCGGGGCGGTGAGATCTGTCTCCGGGGAGGTGAGATCTGTCTCCGGGACGGTGAGATCTGTCTCCGGGGCGGTGAGATCTGTCTCCGGGCGGCCCGCCGCCTGGAGCATTGGCTCGGCAGCCTGTGCGGATCCGCCTGTCGTTCTCTGCCGCTTATATGCGTTGGGTATAACGGCCACCACTGTATTGTGTACGCTAAGCGACGGGTTTCATAATTCATGACCCACTACCGTTTTCCGACGGGAATAAATAGTACGCACGAGCAGTGCCAGTCCTGTCTCCTGACAGTGGGTGACTATGCATGCGACTGAGTAAGAGTCCAAGACCATGTCGTCTCCTGACGTCGACTGGCCGTGCGTGACTCATAGTCAGAGTCGGAACTGTGTGTTCTGGTGACCATGTGCGCATGTGAACCCGGGCCCGCGCTGTTCGGCAGTGGCGGAGGAGTTCACCGAGATGTGCGGTGACGACCGGCTCTGGGCGTTCGAGCGCGTGTTGGGCGCCATGCTGGATGGGTTCGACACGAAGGAGATGCCCTCGGTCCAGAGTCGCGTCGACTGCGAGCGCGCCTGCCTCACGGAGAAGGATTTCAACTGCAGGTCGGCAGTCATCGACCGCCGCCGGCTAGCGGGGGCCCGGCGACTAGAGAGCTGTCCGCGCGGTGCGGTCACAGTGGGCACACCTTTGTTGGAGTAGCACTAGTGCTTCATGGCGTAATAGAATTAGCATCGCGCATCATGTATTTCAGGGCCGGAATAGCATGCATGCTTATTGCCACACATACTTGGTAAACACATTTGGTATCTTGCTTTTTCTCATGTATGTGAGCCGAGGCATTCTGCAAACCACGCAGCATCGTGCTGTGACGCTCTCGTTCCAACAGATACCATACCCTATCAGCCCAGAAACGGACGTGCCCTGTCTCTTCTAGTGCGGTCACTTATGCAGAAGCCCGTGCGTGGGATGCAGGCCGGCCCTGACCCTATTGCGCCTGACCCCGTGCTTCTCGGATGGCCAGGTCAGCCGACTACGACAGCGTGGAGCGAGTGTGTCGGCTCAGCAAGGAGGACCGGCGCACGCAGCCACAGGCCTTCCGCCGCGGCCGCAGCACCATCGAATATCTGGAGAACCAGTGCGCCAGGCGTGAGTGTCCAAACGTCTGGGGCTGAGGGGGGGGGGGGGGGGGGAGGGGCGACCGGAGCTCTGCACCCGTTTTCATGATCACGCACCTGGGGGAGGGACGGCTAAGCTCGGAAGACTGTAATAGAGTGACTACATATAGAAGACTTCGAGATAGAGGAGAAGGGCAGGTGCCTAACACACGCCCTGGTGACCGGCTAGATACTTTTCGCTCGGATGTGGGGGGGGGGGGTCAATTTGACCCCCTGAGATCTCGGAAACTAAGAAAGCTATAGGCTATGTTGACTTGTACGTGAACATGAAACTTACAGGGCATGAATTCATAAATTTGTATTTATATTTACATTTATATTTTTTATGAATCTGTGAATATATGCATATATATATACATATATATATATATATATATATATATATATATATATATATATATATATGTTTGATTAAAAATAACTGCTGACTCAGCATTGACGAGCCTTTTGATGCATCGTTCTAGTTTCCTTGGTGACCAGAGTGATGAATATATGAGTAATTTTGTGCGAACCATCTTTAATCTAAGCGATGGCGCAAAGTCAAAGGCCCGGAAACTAGGACGATGCATCAAAAAGCTCGTCAATGCTGAGTCAGCAGTTATCTTTAATCAAACATGTATCAAAGAAAGAATTCTGCCAAAATATTCCAATATATATATATATATATATTTATATATATATATGTATATGTATATATATATATATGTATATGTATATATATATATATATATATATATATATATATATAAATCTTTATGCATATTTACAGGGTATTGATTATGAATATAAATTTACCCGAAACATGAAATTTACAGAGTATGTTGATCTGTATATGAAGTCACAGAGGTCAAAGTTTGAGGTTCCTAGGTCATGACCTTCGGATCAAATAAGGTCCAACAAGGTCAAATTCCAGCTCGGCCTACAAAGTGCCCCCAGAGCCTGTTGCTAAGCAAAAGGTCACATGCTCCTTTAAGGTCAGTGACCTTGTTTGACCTTTTGAGGATCATGGTGAACAAAATCATACAAGACTGCTCCAAGTTTTGCATTTGAATAAGCGACAAAGATTACGATAGGCAGCATGTTTCAAAAAACAAAATGTTGACCTGGGTCATTTTAGGTTAATAACCTATTCTGCCCTCTGAGAAGTCTATTCGAAATAAGCAACAGAAACTATCCCATACAGCAAACCCTACAGTAGTAAAACACATTGGTTTTGACCTTGGTCTGACCTTCATACCTGACCTTTGATCAACATAATTTGCACATTCAATATTTGTGCTGCCTAAGAAAGCATCTCAGAGATGTGTGGCTTCGTCTAGCACTCCGCCGTTGCATCAGATTGAACGATCTCTGGAAATTGACTTCGCTGAAACCATGGCCTGACTTTGACCTGCCATAGATCAGCGGCCTTACAAGATTCATCTAAATTTTCATACCGAACTATTTGCTACTACATTGTCTACAACTACGCAAAATTTGGCGCAGCGACAACGCGCTATTCGGAAACCATTCTGGAAACCCCTGGGGGGTCAATTTGACTCCCATACGAGTGCGTGTTAAGCAATTTGGAGCGGGGTCGTGCCATTGGCGTGACATACCCGCAATAGGGGTTTGCCTAACTTACCCCGAAATTCGGATTTCTCTTTGAATTTAGGAGGTCACCTTATCCTTGCGTTCAGAGGAAAAGGACACAAAATATGTGGTGAATTGACTGCCATATATTATGGGGGTATACCGGTCCATGATGGACTAACTAAGACAGCTATGGAACTCCTTCCATAGCCGTTTTAGCCCCACCACGACCACGTGGGTGGAGGAAGAGTAGAGGTAACCAGCCAGTGGGGAAGGGGAATGGGCCGGGTGTGGGCACTGGGGTATTTTCCCCGTGCTTCACCCGCTAAATGTCCTGGAGCTTCACTGCATTGCCACCTTCGTCAGCAGAAGATAACTGTTAGCGTGGACCGCAGTCCAACCGGCGTCTGTGCCTGCTGACAAGGTCCGTTTGGCGGTTCGACACATATTCACCATGAATCGCCTGTTCTGGCTGCACCGGACTGCCCTCACTTGGAAACGAACAGACTGCAGTCACCAAAACTTCGCACAGTGATGCGATAGCCTGCTGGTGCTCACTCTGTGGCCCCTTCCCTAGAATTGCCCGAATTCCAGTGCGGCCCTCCCCAGCGGGACGTGATGGTGCTGACGCTGTGACCTCCTCCCCAGAGCTGCCCGACTGTCGGTACGACCCTCCCCAGCGGGGCGTGATGGTGCTGACGCTGCGACCTCCTCCCCAGAGCTGCCCGACTGCCGGTACGACCCTCCCCAGCGGGGCGTGATGGTGCTGACGCCGGACTCGTTGGACTTCGCCGAGTCGTCAGCCGCCTGCGAGGCCGCCTGCACCCGCGAGCGTCGCTTCGTCTGTCGCATGTACACGTTTGACCGGGTCAAGAACCGCTGCTACCTGAGCGGGGACGACTTCGTCAGCCTGGGCCGAGTCGAGCTGCCGGCCATGGAGGGCGCCGTCACCAGCCAGCGCGTCTGCACGCTTGGTGGGTCGGACCGGGCGGCGAAGAGGGGTGGACAGTCAGTGGGAATGGGTGGGGGTGGGGGTAGAGCTCACGTGGGCATGGAGCTCGAATGCGTGGGTCGCGTGGACATAAGCTGGTGCGGTCGGCAGATACCGTGTGCCTTCGGGAATGTATGGTTCCTCACTTCATCATTGACCTCCTCTGCATTCAACGGTATATGCTGACCTGTCTTCTGGGAGCTTCGATATGCGATGAGTTCGCTCAGCGCCATTGATTCGAGATCATATCGTGATCCATCTGAATGATGCATTGCCTTTCGGTAGAAATAATGTGGGCGGCGTCAGACATCACCGGCGACAAAAACTGAGGACATTGTTAAACGTGTCCCATGTCAGAGGCACACGTTTTACAGCCAGTCCAGTGCTAGTGATGCGTAACGTGACCTGTCTCCCACAGAGTCATGCGACGACGGTGTGCTGACGTATGAGAAGGTCACCGGTCATATTCTGCGGGGCGCCAACCAGGAGCCGTTCCCGCTGCCGCCCTCAGCCGACCAGGGCATCACCACCCCGTGCAGTGACCAGTGTGATGAGGTGGGTACGGCTGACCAGGCATCACCACCCCGTGCAGTAACCAGTGTGATGAGGTGGGTAGGCTGACCAGGGCATCATCACCCCGTGCAGTGACCAACGTGATGAGGTGGGTACGGCCGACAGCATGTGATGACCCCAGCCCTATTTTCTCATTTTGCTGTGTCTGGTCGACGCCCGAGTATAAGCTTGCCGTTAGTGCTCGAATTATTTGCTAGAACCATCGTTAATTCGCTAACTTAAGAAGAACGCTGAAATTCCACTGACCTAGGGTCGGGTACAAAGGTCAGGCCAAGGTCAAAACCAATCCACTCTTACACGAAAGGCTGCTGTACGGGATAGTATCTAGTGCTCATTTTGAATTTTTTCCTAAAAGGCACCGCATCATACATTTCCCGTGGACTACTTTAAGTTCGGAGTGGGTCACTGACCTTTTATGCTCCAGATCAATACGTTGTTTTTAGCAACGTACCACCTAGCGTAATCCCTGATGCTTATTCACATCCAAAAATCGAAGCAGTCTTATATGATTTTGGTCACCATGACCTTCTAAAGGTCAGGCAAGATAGGACCTTAGATGAACACCAGTTATTTTTTGCTCAGAAAAAGTATCTGAGGTCACGGTGGTTGCATGGGAAGGTCTGGGGCTGACCTCGACGGATCTTATATTATCCGAAGGTCACGAACTAGGAACCTCACGTTGCGACATAGGTAAGTTCACGTGCAGGGCAACACACCCTATGAACTGGTGTCTAGCTGTATTAGTTATTGTGATTTCCGGGGGTCAATTGCTGCTTCCCCACCCCCACCTGAGCGACGGGCATTGAACCGGCCACCTGGGTGCGTGGCACGAAATCGCACTTTGTCTTCAAAGGAAGCGACTCCTGCTTTAACCACGGTTCGGCCCAGTTGCAGCACGTGCATCTGAAGCTGACACGTGGGCCAGCGACGTGCACTGACCGACGTCAGGTCGTGCCCAGACCCTGCCCGCTCCTGCTGGATGACCTGAGGTGGGTCGTTGCAGACGGGCACCGAATGTCCGGCGCTGGTGATCGACTACTTCAGCCAGCGCTGCTACCGGCTGGACCGCAACACGCAAGGCCGGGTGCAGGACCTGCAGGCCAGGGAGGGCTTCAACTACTTCGAGAAAATCTGCCTCATGGGTCAGTCGGCGTAGGATGTCTGCGCTGTGGCGCTCGCAACGTGCAATGCTTCAGCTTATGGGAGGCTGCCGAGGCACCCCCGTTTTTTTGAAGGGGTTGCCTGCCGCATGTGTCGTCCCTTTTTCGATAGTGTCGGGAACATAAATACCCATATTTCACGCATACGTCGCAAATTCGCATCGTGTAACTATTAGGTGGTTCGCAAAAACCGTGTGGACCACGCCCGCCCTTTAAACAATTTGGACCAGGTAACAAAAGGAGCCTGGTTTACCATTCCAACCGAAAGCGTACAGATCACAATCTCAGCCCCCCCCCCCCCCTCATTACATTGCCAGTGAACACGTGCGTGTTTGCACAGACGCTCGTAAACCCGTCCGAACAGCACGCGCAGCTGAGCGGCGCGGCCGCTGACAGGGGTGTGGCCGGCGCGAACGGCGGCGGTCAACGGCCGCCGGTCCGGACATCGGTTGATCGGTCAGACGATACCGACCAGATCGGACGGCCGGCCACGCTGGGAACCAATCGGTCGGCGGCGCGGTGGCAGTGGCGGACGGCGGCCCCTCCCTGCAGTGCGCTTTGTCCGCCCGCGCCGGGCCGGAAGATCGAGGAACGCCGAGACCCACGGTTCGGTCCGACACGGGGTCGCGGGCTGTGGCGGCAGCTGACGCAACCGGCAGCTGATGCCGCCGCCGTGCTTTGTTTCGTGCGAGGTCTGAACAATAGTGCAGCAGCTCAGCTGAACTACGTTGTTTGACCGCACCGGCTGGTTTTACGGTATTGTTTGGATTTCACCGAATAGAATTGCCTATGCCAGGGCCGTTATGTCTGATAATGGTGGCAAGACTGATCGGTTTTTAATGCAAATTGAGCTTAATTGGCCGATGTATGCTTGGGTTATTTGTAGTTTTTGGGCTCCTCTGAGATATTCACTGGTTTCTTGGGTTTGAGCCTGGCTCTGATTCTGATAAATGCTGCTCAGTCCTGATTCATCGCTGCAACTGTCTATTGTTGTCCATTTCCCATCCTCATACCTCGCGTGATGACTGAGCGAACACGTTCCCCTGAGAAATACCGCCGTTAACACGCACAGACCCGTCACGCGTCCGAAAATCCGTGCCGTCGCCTAGAGCGTAACGATCCCGTTACCCACACCAGACATGGCACACTCAATCGCACCCGCCTGATTTGATTATCCGCCATCCGATATCATCCATTATGCAGCTCTGGAACGGCTCGGCGGGCGCGGACGCCGCCCGCTCCCCCCTGGCGGGGAACGGCGGGGCACGCCCGGCTGTTAGCCGGCGATAATTGCCGAGGTGGCGCGCCGCACAGTCATTAACCATGTAAATCGGCCCGGGGCGCAGAGGCGAGCCGGCGGCAGACCGGAAGTGGCGACATACCTGTCCCGGGCGGCGAGCCGCCGGTGCTAGCCGGCAGTGTCTGCTGGAGGCGGGTAGATTCCCGCCTCTATGCACGTGCGGGATTGGCTGGTTGAAAGGCGCGGATTGGCTGGCTGACGGGCGCTGACGGTCATTGCCCCGGGCTGGAGGAGGAGCCTCCGTCTCGGCCCGCCCGCCCAGGATGGCAGGACCGGGACCGGGGCAGAAGATGAGGGCTTCCGGGGCTTTCGGCTCCATGACAAAAGGACGCAACAGTGGCGTTGTTTCATGATCAGGACTTGTGATCTAAGTAATGTATAATGTGGCTGTGGTGCCGAGCATTTCATGTGATATGAAATTTTAAAGTCTTGCCATGGGCAAAATCCGCCATTGCCCTTTGGTTATTTGGAACTCAAGGGGACATAGGCATGAAACAAGTTTAGTGCGACATGATTGTTACAGCTGTGGGATTCCGGAACGCTGCCATGAGATTGGGTCTGCCTGTCGCCTTACTTGTCATTTACAGCGCGACCATTAACAGTCGGCGATGATATCATTACAGCGTATTGTCTGAATATGTAACTATTGTGCATATTCAGAACCCGACTCAAAGTAGGCGCGAGTTAAATCGCACCACACAGAACATAATAGAGCTTTGATATCTACGACAGCCCGTGCAGAGGTCACGGTTCTGGCCATTGCTCAGGCTCGTGTCTGTGGCTGACCGGCCGGCTGCGTATGCGCCTCTGCACCCTTGATCTCGTGACCTGACCCAGATGAGAAGCGTGGGCTCGGCGAGGCCGTGCATCACGGTCAAAAATGAATGGCCACGGATCGGTTTCTCATGCATGGAGGAGGCCGATAGCGTTTGAGCACGCGCACGGCTCAGGCGTGAACGCAATGCCTGCTGTCGCACGCGAGGCACGAGGGAGGCCGTTTTTCGTGATCAGCGGTCGGCTGAGTCCTCAACAATGCATTGCAGCCTCATCATCGCTTCAAAATTAGACAATTCGTGCAGGGGAATGGGGTTGACCTTAACTGATGACTCGCAGAACAGTCTGGCTCACGCAAAGAGATGGTAATCTGCAAATTTCGCTTGCAGTATTTTTTTTTTGTTAGATCAACAACTTTCGTTAGCGTCGCAGCCCCCCTTAACCCGTAGGTACCAGTGCAATATTCGAGTAAAACAAATGCAAATAAGCTCTACCCAATCACTCAAAACAGTCAAACAACTCGCTCATAAAACATAGTTCTTTCGATGACTGGCAATATGCATGATCAATCAACCCCCCCCGCCCCCACCACTTACACCAGTCCGGTTCACGGTCGGTGACCTACTTTCAGGCACTAACCAAATACGCTTCGACACGACCTCGCCCCCCGTTACCTAACTGCATTTCGAGCCGCAACACGATCATGGTAGTTGGGCAGCCAAAATGGTGCCCATCAATTCATTGATTTATAACGATGGGTGCGTTGCGTAACCAGCTCAGAGAAATCAGAGGCGTGTTCAGGTCTTCTTTCCGATACCATGGGGGCAGCGACGTAACGTAGAATGTTACACACTGAAAATACTCAAGCTTTTTATTGACATCTTATTGACATCTTACGTTATGCGTTGTCGTCCGGAAATGAGATGCTTGCTTTTATCTGGAGGCTGGAAACGCCTATGTCTGAAAACTAGGTCATTTGAATGGCCTGATTTGCCGACTGAAGGTTTAACGCCCAAAAGAAATGTTCACACATAACCTACTAAATAAAACATCGCTGGCGCTCCAGCATGGCGGACGAAATACGGGCAGGTGGCATTAATTCAACCTGCTTCTTCTGAAACACCCTCTCGTGTTAACATACGCGTGAACGACACCCAAAGTTGTCTGCAGACTCCGCCATTCCGAACATGCCTGCACCACTTGCCCTTATGTGCCCTAAACAGGCCGCGATCGGTACCTGGTGCTTTACTTGTGGTGGCGCCTCTTCCGAAGGACCGTACGTCATACAGCACAGTCTCGTCGACATCGCCACATCTGACCGCGGAGCCGTGAGGTCACAGCTGCGACCTAGCTGGACACTCTCAGTTTTGGCTGCTTTTCTGAGACTGTTAAGTCGCTCTCTCGAAGACCCTTTTTCGGTTCCCATTCTGCAACCAACGCGAACAACTGCGAAACCGGTGCCCACAGCATCCCCAGGCGCCGTCCGTAACGGGAGAAGGGCAGTGCCCGCGACGGGAGGAAGCTCCCCGCAGGATCTGTAACTGGAGGAAGCTCCCCGCAGGATCTGTAACTGGAGAAGGCTCCCCGCAGGATCCGTAAAGGGAGGAGGCTGCCCGCAGGATTCGTAGCGTGCGAAGGCTGCTCGCAGGGTCCGTCGCCACCAGCTGTCGTAACGGGAGGAGGCTACCCGCAGGGCCCGCCGCCACCAGCTGTCGTAACGGAGGAGGCTACCCTCAGGACCCGCCGCCACCAGCTGTCGTAACGGGAGGAGGCTACCCGCAGGACCCGCCGCCACCAGCTGTCGTAACGGGAGGAGGCTACCCTCAGGGCCCGCCGCCACCAGCGTCGTAACGGGAGGAGGCTACCCTCAGGACCCGCCGCCACCAGCTGCCGCGGCCGAACCTGGGCATTCGAGCGTGTGCCAGGCATGCAGCTGAGAGACCACGACGACCGTGTGCTGAGGGCGGTACCTAACCGCAAGGACTGCCAGAACGCCTGCTTGGCTGACAACTGCAGGTAGGCACGCCCGCCGGCCACCGTTCGCGGCAGGGCCAGCCACGCATCCACAACGCAGAGATCACGTGTGTATAGCTGCGACATGCACAACATAAGCCGCTTGGGCACTAACAGGTATGTGTTGTGTCTGAATAAAGCCTTTCCATCAGCCAACCTCAGTTTTGTGAACAGGTGGTCGCTGAGGCTGTAATTGAGTCTGAATATTTTCACGCTAGTATTTGTTACGCCATTAAACCCCACAGCCTGCTCAGTGGCCGTTGGGCAGCGGCGGTTTCGCAACACCGCTCCCTCCGGCCCGTGTTCTGTACCCTAGTTAGAGACGTCCGCACCTATGTGCTCGCTGCGTCACACCCTCCCCGTCGCTCCCGCTGGAGCGCGCTGTGTCGCGGCACCAGGCGTGACGCACCGCCACGACTCGGCCAGGTCTGCCACCTTCGACGCAGAGACGCTGGAGTGCCGCCTGAGCAGGGCCAGCCGGCGCCAGTTCCCGGACGACTACGTGGAAGCCGGCCGAGGCGTCGAGTACCTAGAGAACCAGTGTCTGGGCGGTGAGGACCGGGACGCGGCGCGTGGGGCTTAGGCGTGAGACTGAGGCCTGGGGACTGGCGAAGGTGCAATGAAGCTCGTGCAGGGGGCACACTTGGGGAGAGGGTCGAAGGTTTAAGAGCGAAGTAAAACAAAATCGACTTGGTGAGGGAGCGCGAAAGAAAGAAAGAAGGAGAGAGGGAGAGAGAGGGAGAGGGTGTGGGGGGTGTGGGGTGGAGATGGGATGATCATGATAGATGGTGCAGTATGGTATTTATCGTCTTGGACAGCTAGCTATGTTTCCTTCACGAAACACGGACGTCTGCTGTCTGTTACTATTGCTGTCCACCACTCATGCAGAACTTCACTACAAGTCTAGCGCGAGACGCCACGCCCGCTAACCCGAGCGTCGCACCCGCAGCGGACACGCGCTGCGACTACGTGCCGACCACGGACAAGTACCCGCGCTACATCGACCTGACGATCCCGCGCGTGGACCGCATCACGGACTGCGAGCGGCTCTGCACGAACAACCGCCAGTTCGTGTGCCGCTCGTTCGCTCTGTACACCACGGCCGGACAGTGTCTGCTGAGCGGAGACGATGAGAGTGAGTGCTACAAATTTCCGGAGCTGGGAGCATGAACTTGAGTTCGGGTTGCGTCTGCTGGACGAATGCGACGGAGCTGGGAGCATGAATTTGAGTTCGGGTGGCGTCTGCTGGACGAATGCGACGGAGCTGAGAAGTGAACGGCGTCTACTGGGCGGGAGATACAGGCGTGCTAAGGCTCTTCGTGTAAATAGCACTACCCTCAGACCTCGAGATCGTTGATTAGTCATTAAAAGCCACTCTATTAGATTTATTAAAGCTCACTATCCTATTCATGGTCGGTTCGGTGCCGGTCAAGTCGCCGATACTTGCTCTGTCGGTAACAACAGCGGGATGATTCTGTTTCAGTCTCGGCCGGTGAGAAGGCCTATCTGTCACGCGCCGGGACGGATTTCTACCAGCGGGACTGCGTGGGTCGTCGTCCTGGCGGCGGCGGCAGACCTGATGGCGGCAGGCCTGATGGCGGCAGGCCTGATGGCGGCAGGCCTGATGGCGGCAGACCTGATGGCGGCAGGCCTGATGGCGGCAGACCTGATGGCGGCAGACCTGACGGCGGTAGACCCGGCGGTGGGCGACCAGATGGTGGGCGGCCGGACGGCGGACGACCAGACAGCGGGCGGCCGGGAGGTGCGAACATGGCGCTCCCTGCAGGCGGACGGACCCCGTTTCGCCGGCGCCGGACCCTGTATGTGTTAAACAGCGCCGGGCCCAGCCGCCGCGCTCCCACCCCGTCGCTTTTGTTCCCTCCCGTCCGCCGCGGCCCGCCGGTGCCTCCGCCAGTTACGGGCTGGCGCTGGCCAGTCGCCCCGTCGGCTCCGCCCCAGCCGGGCCCGCCCCCGGCTGCCGAGACGTTCGCTCGGACTCGCCAGGTGGCGGGAGTGCAGCCGTTCCCCGAGCTTTCTCCGACCGGCAACGACACCAGCGCCGAGTGGATTAAGCCCGCTCTTAGTCGCGACCAGAATCGGAGTAAGCCGATGGACGGGCGGAAACAGCCACAGAGTAAGCCATCAGTGCTTTCTTCAGGCCGATGCATCTTGCTGAAGGCCGTTGGCTATGCTTTGGCTGAAAGGATCTGCTTGAGAATTGCTCTTGACGTATTTGTACTAGTTGTGGTGAACGGCCGGCTACAGCTCAATAATCGTTACTTTGTAGCATCCTATAACCATTTTTGGGTGGTGGTATTACCCTTTCAACCTATTTCTTATGTCCTGTACTTAATCTCCATATTTTTATAGAGCTAAAGTCTTACTCGATTACTCCATATTTTTATGGTTACTCCATACCTTTTACTACCATATGACTGATGTTTTTTTCAGGCATCCGTCCTTCCTCTTCCACAGCGCTTAGTCTAATTGCAAATCTCCCCCGCCACTGCGCGATCATTTCTGTCTTATTTCCCTTGGTGTCTTTAACATCGGATCAGCATCGGCAGGCGCCTTGCGCCCCTCCTCCAACACTCCTTACTTGACCGTTGCGAGCCGGTCTGTTTAGATCACATCTGGCTGACATATCTGGGCAGGCTTTGTTGCACATCGCTGGATATTACCGCTACTCGTGTATGCAGCTATGCAACTCGCCTCTTTTCGATGCTCATCCATCTTTTTCCGATTCCGTTTTGTGATGCAAGTGTGTTTTCAAACAGCATAGATGTGACACGAAGGTTTCATGCACACAGATCAGGCACCGTCAAACCGGTGTCAACTTAAATAATGATACTCATGATTAGCCGTAGAATGCATATGATCAGCTGATTCCCTTTCCTGTTATGTATATCGTGTTCTGACCGCTCCAGTCAGCCAATTGCATGAAAACCTTGTCAACACACACTATGGTGTGGTGCTGTGGCCGAAACGCCATCATAGTTCTTCGCAGTGAATGACTCTGGTGCCTCCGTGGGACAGGCGGGATCGACTGTGACCAGTACGAGCTCATTACGGGCGTGGAGATGCGACAAATCCGGGGCTCAGAGCTCGTCTCGGACTTCGACAACCCCGGCATCATGGCCGAATGCACCAGGGAGTGAGTACAACATGACTTGGCGCTAACGGCAATTCAGGTACTATCCACGCGTTTCATGTTATGGCTTCGACGGGTGCATCTGCTTTCTAAGTCGCCACTTCGCCAAGCATAAGCCGCTGTTATTACGTACTAAATCCAAAGTAGTGTATTTCATCTGTTTAATTTTTTGGGGAGAGGGGACAGCGCTTTGTAACACACTTCAGTGCCACATTACATGCCAGGGGCTCCTAGGCCACCAACTTAATGCCGCGTGCTTTATTTCCCCTGCTAAAGAACATTCAGCGCGTTGTCGTCTGCTTCTGCCAGCCTAAAGCCCTATTTTCATCCCAATACATCCCTGTTATCTTGGCCTTCACGCGCCATGCTCAGAGCTGCATCTCACCCCTTCCCCTCGACCTTCAGTGCACCCGGCCGGGCACCCCCTCACGGTGACCTCAGGTGCACCCGGCCGTAACGCCCCCTCGCGATGGCCTCGGGTGCACCCGGCCATGAAACCCCCTCGCGGTGACCTCAGGTGCACCCGGCCGTAACGCCCCCTCGCAATGGCTTCGGGTGCACCCGGCCATAATGCCCTCTCGCGGTCACCTCAGATGCACCCGGCCGTGACACCCCCTCGCGGTGACCTCAGGTGCACCCGGCCGTAACACCCCTCGTGGTGACCTCAGGTGCACCCGGTCTCGGCGCTGCTCGGCCTTCAACCTGGAGCACCGCGGGCGGGACCGGCGGGCGCGCGAAGCCCGCTGTTCGGCCCTCGAGCTGCGCGAGAACATCGAGGTTGACCCCCGCGACCTCACCGACACGCCCGGCGTCAGCTTCATGCAGAAGATCTGCCCCAGAAGTGAGCACGGCGACCGCCCAGCGGCGCGTTCGGGGCGAGTGCCGCCTGCTGGTGTGGATGCGTTTTTCGACCATGCACTTGGTTAAAGTGCAAGGTTATGCGTGTTTGATCACGGCTGTGGTTGCTGGCTGAGTTCACTGTTTGGGCATCAACGTCAGTTGATGTTTTTCAGAGCATTTTCCAGAATACCGCGATGCAGAACTTTTTGGTGTGAGTCCAGCGCCCTTAATTGTCGTTATCCACGGAGCTGGAGTGGGTGTAGATTATCCGGACGAGAAGAATTCGATGTGGCTCCATGCCACTGACATCAGAGCAACCAAATTCTACACTAAAGCAAAATAGTCAAAACATTTGAATCGCCCGAAGGGTCAAAGCCACAGGCCATTGAAGCCTGTGGCAAATAGCCAGCACCGAGGCAACTCGAACCCACACACTCCGCCACGTACAGGTCAGGAGGCAGGTGCTCTAACCGATTGGGAATGGGCTGCAGGGGCGGACGCTAACGGTGCATTAATCACGACCTTCACCCCTTGCAGAGAAGCGTTCGCGATACTGACATCCACTCTGCAACTAACCAACGGTAATCTGTCCAAACCGCCATGCTCGTCAGAGCAGCTGTCAGCAGCGGTCTCCAAATTTGCCGACAGGTCGAGGGTGCGGCAAACTGTACACATTTGAGCGACTGGTGAACGCCGAGCTGTCCGTGCGGGAGGACAGGCTAGTCCGTGACGTCACCAAGCTCGAGTGCCAGGACGAGTGTCTGCAGGAGACCAGATTTGACTGCAGGTCAGTGCAGTTGCTTTTTGCCGACACGCACCAACGTGTCCTACTGTGCTCCCAACATTGTCACGCATTGTTTTGACATACGCGTAACGTAATTCTGAAACACAGGTGGTGCGCCTCGACGCACATGTAAACCTCGAGGTACAAGCTGTGCGTGATGTGGTGCTGTGTACTGACGCGCTGCCCTGCCTGCCAGATCCGTCACGTACGACTACAGAGAACGGCTGTGCCTGCTGAGTCGCGAGAACAGACAGAGCGCTCCCCCGAGCGCTGAGGCGCACCAACGGCAGGGACTACTTCGAGAACCAGTGCGCCAGGGGTGAGCAACACGGCACGGGCGTGCCATGTGCTCACCACCAGAGCTGCGATGCCAAACAGGGCACAGAACAACGCGCATGTCTGTGTAACGCCGTGTGTGGGGCGCAGGGGTGTATTGCTCCAGACGAGCGATGCGAGTTCCAGTCAGACGAACAGCTCCCTTTCGATGTGGGCGGTAGGACGGCCGCCGGCAGCACCGGTGTCTCCTTCACGCGGCTTGGACCGCATCAACCTGACGCCTCTCGCCATCGCTTGCAGAGTTCCGAGAGTGCTCGTACCGGAACGAGAACCGCGACGTGTTCCTGGTGTACACGCACAAGGCGGTGTCCGAGTTCAGTGACTCGCGATGCCGCGAGGCCTGCGACCGCGAGCGCGACTTCAACTGCGCCTCCTACTCCTTCCTCGCCACGGTCAGTGATGGCACGTGCGCTGGGACGCTCCTTATTCTTTCATGGCTCTGCCAGGACCAGGGATCCGTCTTACCAGCTTGGTATCTCTGATTTATTAGCTCATATTAAGACTGCCTGGTTACATCCGGCGAGGCCTAGCGAAAATGACTGTAGATTTATATTCCGTACAAGCTCCTAACTGCGATGCACTGCTCACTGTCCAACAAGCACCATACCTCTGAACACTTCCACATTGGCTGTAAGTGATGTGCATTGTAGTTAACATGCCACTGTCGTCCAAACGGCACGCCACTACCCGAGCGGAGGTCATTCGCGACGACCTGTGACCGGCCTCACGCGCGGCGTTATCTGCAGGGCCGGGACCGGCAAGCCTCATGCTTGCTGTCTGGGGTGCGTGCCAACGACCTGGATCGCAGCGGGGTGCAGTTCCTGGATGGCGCCCTGTACGCCGAGCGCATCTGCCAAGACCGGGCGTCCGGAAGGCCGGACGGCGGAGGACGGCCCGACAGCGGGGGAAGACCCGGCACTGGGGGAAGACCCGACAGCGGGGGACGGCCCGACAGCGGAGGAAGACCCGGCACTGGAGGAAGACCCGACAGCGGGGGACGTCCTGGCGGCGGGGGAAGACCCGGCAGCGGGGGAAGGCCCGGCAGCGGGGGAAGGCCGGGCAGCGGCGGAAGGCCCGACAGTGGCGGGAGGCCGGGCTCGGGTGGCCGCCCCGATCCAGGTATGAAGGCAGGTCACAGGGAAGCTAAGCACACAGCTGTCAATAATGATAGCGTTTGCTTATGAGCATTGTCTTTGTTAGTCTAAAGGTCCTCTTGCGCTACTGGTTTCCAAGACACCAGTAAGTTTGCAGGTCAGTGGCCCCATCGACTCTTGACGTTTGCGGCAGTATAGTTCAGGGAAATCTAAAACTCACGCATGAGCCTGATTGCCTGGGGCAGCACCCATGATCCGATTGGACATGATGTTGTCCACACGGCCATATCAGTGAGGTGGATACACCGAAATGTACAAGTTATTGTGTAAGGCACTCGGAGCACTTGGCAATATTATCCGCTGCACTTCACTTACAGCTGCAAACGGGAGGCTAATGCCCGAGAATTGGCAGTAGACAGCTGGCAAGTCCATACACTAAGGGCTTTCACATCATCAAGAATATACATACGATTAAGCCACACTCATGCCAGTTCCCCATACGGTTGTATTTGCGATATCGAACCCTGCTTGTGATGCTGTGAGTGTCCGCCAGGTGGCGGGTGCGTTGTGTGTGCATTGGCTTGGCAGTGACATTCGACTGCCTCAGCGGGGCTGGGCGCGAGAGGTGGCGGATGGCAGGAGAGGCTCACCTGTGAGAGTCGTGGTTACGCCGACATTCCGGTCGTGGTTCTGCCGTGTCGGGCACGTCTGGAGAAAACGGGCGAACCAGCCATCTGCACGAGCAAATCCTTAGCCTCACTCTACCCGCTTGTGCCGTGGGACCTGGCTTGACCGCCTAGACCGCCAGAGCCGCGCCACTGCCGACTAACATTCCCTCGGGCCGTCACCCTTATGTAAGACGACGACTCAACCACAACAGGCGGCAACGAGGTGGACACCGGCGGCCGCCGGTCGCCCGACATCCAGCGCTGCCGCGTCACTCCCACCTACGAGAAGGTGCTCAACGTCGAGTACCGGCCGGCTCGCCGCTTCGAGATCGAGGCACGCGGCCGCGGCCGCGGCGTCACCGTGCCCTGCCTGCTACAGGTGAGGAGCACTGCACGGGACGACGGTGACCCAGGGTGTTGACCGACTGAAGCGCTGGGCGCGGGAGGACGGTAACCCAGGGTGTTGACCGACTGAAGCGTTGGGCTTGCCAGGCCGCTTATGTGGAGTGTGCAGTGAGTGCGGTAATGAGTTGCATACGTCACCAATTAGAGCATCCTGTTTTCTAAAGCAATGGTTGCTTCAATCCCGCGTTCCGTAAGATAACCGAGATTATCATGCTGCTTCCCGTAGACTTGCACGAGCTACAGTCCGACGGAAAACACGTAGTGCCATGCGCCTTTAGTGTCATGAGACCCTGAGTAAGGGAAGGCAGCTTCGTCAGCTGCTGCACTGCAGTCTGCAGCACTGTCCGCAGAGCTGGACATTGGATGCCCGCGGGTGATCCCCGGGTCGATCGGCCGACTGGCCGCAGTTTGTCGATACTCTGGCGGTCTTGGGAGGTGCGCAGCGTGCTGACGGCGACGGCCGGCGCTCCCCTCAGTGCGAGCGGAATCGTCGCTGCCTGGGCATCAGTCTGGAGTACGGCGAGCAGGGCGAGCGCTGCTACGGCCTGGAGACCTCGGCCGGCCAAGATGGCGGCACGCTCAGCGTCGCCGATGGCATGTCCTACTTCGAGAAAGTCTGCATCGAAGGTGAGCCAAGTGTGTGTGGGGGGGAGGGGGGAGGGGGGGGAGGGGGGGGGGGAGGGGGGGGGGTTGTCTTGACAGTGGGTTTTACAAACAGTCGCTCGTAGGACGCCGGCTTTGTAAATATTTGTTTCAGATGAGTTCCACCCGGGGGTGGCGACGTGCCCACGCTGGGAACTGTGCTGGAGCTTGGCAGGCTTCGTGCAAGCCTGCATCAAGACAGGACGATATGCCTTGGTCTTAAGCTGGAGACGCTGGAAGCACTTAGCATGTGTCGGTCATCCGCACTCAAGGTCGGCGTTCCCACAGAGCGCACCTGCGGCAAGGGCTGGACCTTCGAGCGCGTGCCGAACTACGTGATCGAAGGTCACGACGATCTGGTGATCCCTCGCGTCAGGAACAAGGAGATGTGCGAGACGCTCTGCCTGCAGAACATTCGCATGCCGTGCCGGTCAGTATTTCAACATACACGGGAGCTGATGTCATCGGAACTTCTCGATGTATGGAACTGCCTGATGACACTTTGCTGGCGTCACACCTTTGTGTAAGCAAGCCTTCAACAGTGTCCGTAATGGGGTGTTGTCTGGTTAGCTAAGTCTGGATGTAGGAAGGCAAGGCATTGAGCGCCTTTGCGAGCGCCCTATGCCCCCCTCCCCCCGTTCAGCCCAGGCATGCCGTCCATGCCTCTAAGAGCCACTAGGTGACCCTAGCGCATGGTCCAAGCATTAAGATAGGTAGCGATTTCTATTGCCGAACGCACTCAGTTTTCGCACGCGCGGTGAAAGAGCGGTGACAGAAGTTGAAGCCTGAGCGGGCCGCCCGAGCGCCTGCTGACCTGTCGCGTTTCAGATCGGCTGAGTACAATTTCCGCGAGCAAACGTGCGCCCTGTCAACCCAGACCCGCCGCACCCAGCCCTCCGAGTTTGTGTACGACGCCGACGTCGAATACCTGGAGAACCAGTGTGCACCCGGTAAGCTGCCGCGCGCTCCATTCACGCTCCAGGCGGTGCTGATCGTGTGCGGTCGTGCCCAGGCGGTGCTGATCGTCGGCGGTCGTGCCCGGGCGGTGCTGATCGTCGGCGGTCGTGCCCGGGCGCTCCTTCATCGCTGCGATGGCGACCACTGCTGACCAGTGCTGGCATTGAATAACCGAGGTCACCGGGCTTGGGTAGCCGAGTCCGTAGGTGGCTGCTGCGCCGCCCGCCTGACTGTAGGGCACAGCCGTGGGTTCCCTCCGATGACCTCCCGGTGAGCGCGACGCGCCTCGCCGTCTGGCGGCGGATGGCGGTCCTGTACAGTGGAGGCTCTCCGTTCCAGACCCGCCCAACTGCGAGTACCGGGATGTTGAGAGCCGGTTCCTGCCCTTCGTGGACCGCATGATCGCGCGGGTCGCCAACAAAGCCGAGTGTATGCGCAGCTGTGACGTGGAGCTCGACTTCAAGTAAGCAGACGGCAGTCCGAAAGACCGCAGCGTAGCGTGTTGGTCGCGCGACCATCACCATGTACGCAGCGCGTTAGGGGGCCACGTGGCACGAGGTACGCACTGGAGGGCCAATTGTCCCAAGGCCACGGTGGTAAGGTAAGTTGAAGGTGCGAACTGTGATGTGAGCTGTTCATTGAGGTGTTAGGTGAGAGTAGTGGACGGAGAACGAAAGAGGTCTGCGTTTCACGAGGCCAAATTTGCCATTGGAGGCCACGTACTCGCCTCCGAACATCGTTGTCAGAGCCATATTCACCTCAGCTGTAACAGTGTTTTCAAATGCGCGATGCCTCCCAAGGTCTCAGGTTAAGCTGTCTGCACCTAGCTCGCCCAAATTTTTTTAACGTCAGCACTATGGGCCCACAACCGAAACGGGTGTTCTCGGTTACCGCCGGAGATTCCCTACACCATGTGCCTCTCCTCACCTTCTCTGCTCTGTGTCCTCTGCCGCCGCGGGTCTGAGCCCAGCCCCTCACGCTCTTCCCGACCTCAGGTGCCGCAGCTACAACTACAACGACCGGCGGAGGGAGTGCACGCTCAGCAGTGACGACACGGGCAGTCTGGGCGAGCGGGCGCTCGTGGCCGACGTGGAGAGCGTGTTCAGCGAGCGGAGCGTCTGCCGCACCGGTAAAGCCCTGCTGACCGGTCGCAACCGAGACACCGGCACTGCCTCCGGCCGTCGGAGAGAGACTTCCAAACCCGGCAGGCTGGAGCAGGAAGAGTCTCTCGAACCCGGCTTGCTGGGGCTGGGAGAGGCTCCCGAACCCGGCTTGCTGGGGTTGGGAGAGACTCCCCAACCCGGCTTGCTGGGGCTGGGAGAGGCTCCCCAACCCGGCTTGCTGGGGCTGGGAGAGACTTCCGAACCCGACTTGCTGGGGCTGAGGGAGGCTCCCCAACCCGGCTTGCTGGGGCTGGGAGAGACTCCCCAACCCAGCTTGCTGGGGCCGGGAGAGGCTCCCCAACCCGGCTTTCTGGGGTTGGGAGAGGCTCCCGAACCCGGCTTGCTGGGGCTGGGAGAGGCTCCCGAACCCGGCTTGCTGGGTCTGAGGGAGACTCCCCAACCCGGCTTGCTGGGGCTGGGAGAGACTCCCCAACCCGGCTTGCTGGGGCCGGGAGAGGCTCCCCAACCCGGCTTTCTGGGGTTGGGAGAGGCTCCCGAACCCGGCTTGCTGGGGCTGGGAGAGGCTCCCGAACTCGGCTTGCTGGGGCTGGGAGAGGCTCCCGAACCCGGCAGGCTGGAGCAAGAAGAGGCTTCCGGAACCGACAGACCGGAGCAGGCAGAGACTATCGAGTCTGACCAGCTCCAGCAGGCAGAGGCTCCCAAGCCGGGCCTGACGAAAACCGGACTACACCCAGATCAGAGAGAGACGGAGTACAGTGGCACCGCGGAGGACGTCCCACCAGGACAGCAAGGCACGCGGCACACGCACAGTGGGCCAGAGGAGGCGTACTAAAATATGCTCTAATTCTACAGCGTCATTTGCAATGCACTAAGCCCAGATGTTCAGTTTCTTTGCTGTGCTAATAATATCGATCAACTTCCACAAAACTGAATTGTAAGCATTGTAAGATGCACGAAAGTCAACTTTACACAATGTCCTGAAGCATTTCATGCCGGGCAATTATGTATACTGTTTATCGCAGATAGAAATTTCTCACATCTTTGTGCGAGATGGCACCACATTTCCTATCTGGTTGACAACGTATCAGCTCTAACCTCTTTCACAGTAGAGACTTGGATGTCCCTCTTCGGAGAAAACCCTTTCGTCGGAGAAAGGTAGCGCCTCTTATGCCGCTTGACTGGTCGGGAGGAGGCGATGGACGGCTGGCAGTCGGCGGTCGCTAGACGGCATGATGTACTCCGTCTCTCTCTCTCCCTCTACCTCCCTCCCGACTTCTCAGCATGCTCGGAGCCTCTGCCTTCTGTGGCATGTCGTGGACTTGGCGTAACGACTTTCAGTGCCTGCTCAGTTTGTCTGTCGGTCGAAAGCGGACTATTAATAGCGGTGTCGGTTGTGTAATGTGTAGTTCTCTGCATCGCGTGGCCTCTATACCCGCCCATAGATACATGCTCCTTTACCTCTGCAGTGTCTCAGTAAGCAATGGTGGTAGTATCAGCATCTGATCCGCGATAGGTCACCCCATAGCTGCCCGCATTCTCTGATGGCGTATCACCAATCGCCGACAAACCCGACGTCATCTAGGACCAATGATGAGCGAGCTGCCCACACATCCTCAAGCGCCGGCCGTCTTCGACAGCGGCGCTCGCTGTCGCCCTAGCCTCACCACCGACACCTCTCTCGCACCACAGTTCAGGTGGAGTGCAGCAAGAACGACATGCAAGTCACCTTCAGCTTCGGGAGCCGTTTCGAAGGCCGAGTGTACGCCACGGGCAACGCGCAGGCCTGCTTCGACATGGGCAACGGCCGACAGACTGTGCTGCTCTCCATCCCGTTGGGCAGCCGCTGTGGCACCGTTGAGGAGGTCGGTGGCGTCCGCACGCGACAGCGGGGTGTAGCTTGCTAGTGTGCTGTTGCTGAGAGCCTCATCTTTGATGAGCCCTTTGATGAGACTTGTGCGGATGCCGAAGGGATAGTAAAAAAGGCTGTGTTTTGCAGTTCTCTCCCCCATGCGTGCTTTTTTCACCTTGGTGTTGCCAAGGGTGTTGAGATTAGCTCGTCCATGCCAGAATCGCATTGTTGTAGGACCGCGTTATACTACTCGAAATGATTCGAAACGGGATTGCTCGCCAAGACGAAACGCTTGTAACGTAAAACGTGCCTGCCATCTCTGCGGACTTGAAATTCCTTTCATTTTCCTCCTGTTCAGCGCATATTCCGTGCATGTCAGATTTGGTGCCTGATCAAATAAAGCACTCTTTCAGATAATGCAAGCGTGGAAATGAAATGGTATGTTCTAGCAACGAAGAGTATAAGCCAATGTGGTCTTTGTGACACCATGTGCAACTTTTTGACATCTTTTTAACATCAGACAAATTACCATTGCAGTTGACGCGCCCTTGACACCTAATAACTAGCTAAGTTGACACCATAGAATGGCGTCCCTTTTTGGCCGCCTCTTCTGCCTGATTTCTCCTTCATTGCTGCAGTTACCTCGGTCGTGTCCCCAACGCCGCCGACGGGCCAGCACGCGCACACTCCCCCCGTTCGCCGCTGACCTCTTGCCTGTGCCACGCCGCCGCAGGGTCGCGGCCGGTACGTGAACCACGTGGTGATCCAGCAGCACCCGACCATCATGCAGGAGTCGGACAAGACCGTGCGGGTGGAGTGCACGTTCGACGCCAACGACCAGACGGTGACTCTCGCGCCCACCGGCAACCGCTTCACTGAAGGCGGCGGCGTCGACGTCAAGTGAGTCACGGCCCGCTCGGCCCGACGCCCGGCATCACGTCTCGGCGCTCGGCCCGACGCCGGGCGTCACGTCTCGACGCTCGGCCCGACGCCGGGCGTCACGTCACGGCGCTGGGCCCGACGCCGGGCGTCACGTTACGACGCTGGGTCAGACGCCGGGCGTCACGTCACGACGCTGGGTCAGACGCCGGGCGTCATGTCACGACGCTGGGTCCGGCGCCGAGCGTCACGTCACGACGCTGTGTCCGGCGCCAAGCGTCACGTCACGACGCTCGGCCTGACGCCGGGCGTCACGTCGTGACGCTCGGTCCACAGTCACGAGACCGCGACGGCTGCCGGACGGGAGTGTGGAAGTTTTGCAGTAATTATTTGGTGTCTGGCGCGGTGTGAAAGTGCAAGCTTATGCAAACAGAGTACATTGGCTATTCAAGGAGCTGTGGGGTGAATTGACAAGCAGGGAACATCAATATCTATAAGAGGGTCATCCTAATACTTTTTTCACCGGCGCTGTCTATTCTGGGTTTGCATCACCATCCCGCCGTCACCACCGCTTACCCTCTCATCCCCACCTTGTTCCGTTTCAGCGCGCCCTTTCGGCCCGTGGGTACTTCGGTGGTTACGAACACTGCGCCGACCCCTAGTGTTAGTCTCCGAATCGTCGGACGCCAGGGTCGCGACACGAGCGAGGTCAGCCTGGGTGAGGAGCTGACCTTCATGATCGTCGCCGACCCGGGCAGCGCCTTCGGTATCCTCGGCAAGGGCGTCGAGGCGCGCACCGACAACGGAGAGCTGCTCGCGCTCATCGACGACCAGGGGTGAGGGGCAGCCGCCACTGAGCAGCGCCCAACGTCTGATTAGCTCTCAGATGGTTTGGGTTCAGCAGATGTTTGTGCGCTGTTGCGGTGTTTGTGTTATTGCCCGGCGGAGCCACTTATGGTTAGCTCTCAGCTGGTTTGGGTTTAGCAGATGTTTGTGCGCTGTTGCGGTGTTTGTGTTATTGCTCGGCGGAGCCACTTATAGTTAGCTCTCAGCTGGTTTGGGTTCAGCGCATGTTTGTGCGCTGTTGCGGTGTTTTGTGCTATTGCTCGGCCGAGCCGCTTCGAATTCGATGGACCGCTTTAATCTCGGCGCAGGACAATTATTCAGTGGAAGGCAACCAGCATTACGTGTGCTTTTTGAGAAGTCTATCTCTAATGCCTTTTAGTGTCTTTTTTCCTTTTTTGGTGCCTTTCAGATTTTAGTGCACAATGATGCATTTATCCATTTCGACGACCTCGTAACTAAATTAGCCGGAAATCAAGCAATGCTCTTGTTGATTGAGATTGGTTTTTGCGGTCTTGCTGTAATGAAACGCACAACTAACGTGCTATCTGCATCGATGACCTCAGATGTCCTCGGGATGCGAGCATCTTCCCGGCCCTGGAGATCGACAGGGAGTCCAAGAACCTGATGGCTAACTTCAAGGCGTTCCGCTTCCCCAGCACGGCGCGGGTCAACTTCTTCGCCACCGTGCAGTTCTGCCAGGACGAGTGTCCGCCGGTAGGGGACAGTTCGTCAGACAGCAATTTGTTTGGGGAAAGGTTGGGAAAGCTTGGGAAAAGCTTGAGAAATCTCAGTTGTCCTCAACCGGCTCTGGGAATGGTTGAGGTTTTCCAAGATTTCGTCGATCGAGCAACTGCATATTGACAACCACTTTTGGAAATTGGGGGCTTTACTGAGATTCCCCAACCGTCACATAGGGGATTTGATTGGGGAAATCATTTTGCAGCGCGCAATCGCAATAGGCAGCCGGGAACTCTCCGGCCACTCAGCTTGGATAAATGCTTGGAAACGGTCCAGAACAGGTTTGAAATCCCCACTAAAGTGTCCTCATTTCGGAGCCCGCTGCAAGTGGAGGCGCCGTGTTGAGAGCAGCGCGTTTACAGGCGCGCTGCCCCTCGGGCAACTCGTACGGCCGTCGCCGCCGCTCGCTGAACGAGACCGGAGCGGAGGACGTCGCGGAGAAACCCGCCAGCTCGGCCGCCACCGCTGAGGTACCCATGGATCTGACGATTGCTGCTGCTCAAGTACCTATCGATCTGCCGATCAGCCTCAACAACCGCGTCACGCTGAGGGCTCCGACCACCGTGCCGACCACCGTGCCGACCACCGTGCCGACCAGCGTTCCGACCAGCGCCGCTAGCCCCTCCACTAAGCAGACGACCGCAGGTGGGTGTTTGCCTCAGGCGGCTGACCGGCCTTATTCGCGAGCGCTATACGGGTGAATGTACGAAAAGATTGTGCGATTAGAAATCTCACCAAAGGTTTATGTGATGAGCTGCAGCGGTTCATCTGATGAGCTGCGAGGGTCTATTTGATGAGTTACGAGGGTCTATCTGATGAGCTACGAGGGTCTATCTGATGAGCTGCGATGGTCTATTGATGAGCTGCTAGGGTCTATTTGATGAGTTACGAGGGTCTATCTGAGGAGCTACAAGGGTCTATCTGATGAGCTGCCAGAGTCCATCAGATGAGCTACGAGGGTCTATCTGATGAGCTGCGGGGGTATATCTGATGAGCTGCGGCGGTCTATCTGATGAGCTACGAGGGTCTATCTGATGAGCTGCGAGAGTTTATCTGATGAGCTGCGGCGGTCTATGGTTGACGTGATGAAAGCGGGCCGCTGCATCGACTCTGAAACGCATTTCAATTTCCATGCGTCGCACCCGTGTACCACGCGTATGTAGCTCGGTCACCCGGACGGCTACGAACAGTGCCCACCTTGTGGTCGGCTTAATAATCGAGAACTTCCCTCTTGTGATTGCATCGCTTGCCCGGACACCATCACTAGGCGTGAATGTCCTCCTCAGATCGCCCCGAGCCCAGCTCGTCCTCCACACCCATCCCCGTGACGCCGCTGCCTGAGATGGCAACCGCCTCTTCCTCCGAGAGGAGCGCGACGCCGGAGGACGGGCCGGAGTCGCCCACGGAGGACCCGCTGGAGGAGGACGAGGCGCCGGCGGCACCGCGGGTTGCCGCTGTCCTCTCCGGGAGTGGGCGACCTCCCCAGCCTTCCTCGGAGGAGGCGGTCGAGGCCGCGCCGCACCCTGCCATGATCGCCACGCCTGGTAGTCTGCTGCCTGTGGCTTTGCCGCTCACCACCTCCGTGAGTAGGCGGTGGGGACTCCGCTGTCTGTCCTGTTACATACAACGCCTGATTTCAGGGAGCGGCTGGGAGCGATTGCTGCAGCAAACGCGAAACAAACCCTTGAAATCAGGACGTCAGTAATCCATAAACACATCAGCTAACGCCGCTCATCACCAGACGCCCATGGCCGGGACCAGTGGCTGCCCGGTCATCACTTCCCGCTCCTCAACACACCATCAGTGTCTGTTTGATCATCACTTGCCGTTCGTCAGTGCACCGTCAGTGTCTGATCAATACGTCCCGCTACTCAACGCGCCATCAGCGGCCGCCCGGTCATCACTTCCCGCTCCTCTCGCACCATTAGTGTCTGTTTGATCAACACGTCCCGTTCCTCAACGAGCCATCAGTGATCGCACCGTCATTGGCTGTCCCTCCTGATGGCACCATCAGTGGCTGTCTGGTCATCACTTCCCGCTCCTGATCGCACCGTCGGTGGCTGTCCCTCCTGATCGCACCATCAGTGGCTGTCCGGCCATTACTTCCCGCTCCTGATCGCACCATCGGTGTCTGTCCGGTCATCACTTCACGCTCCTCATCGCACCATCAGTGGCTGTCCGGTCCTTACTTCCCGCTCCTGATCGCACCGTCATTGGCTGTCCCTCCTGATGGCACCATCAGTGGCTGTCTGTCCATCACTTCCCGCTCCTGATCGCACCGTCGGTGGCTGTCCCTCCTGATCGCACCATCAGTGGCTGTCCGGCCATTACTTCCCGCTCCTGATCGCACCGTCGGTGGCTGTCCCTCCTGATCGCACCATCAGTGGCTGTCCGGCCATTACTTCCCGCTCCTGATCGCACCGTCAGTGGCTGTCCGGCCACCACTTCCCGCTCCTAATCGCACCTCGGGTGCGTCACCTGACCGTGACCGGCGTCACGCGTGCCTCCAGCTGCTGGTGGGACCGGATATCTCGTCTGAGAAGGTGCGGCTGATGATGGAGGAAGAAGAGGAGGCGGTGGAGCCGCAGAAGTACGACGTCGTGTTCGGGCACAACTGGCAGAGTCGTCATGCCTATCAGACAGAAGGTGAGGCGGCATCCACCTTTATCCTGCTGCGATGTCTTTCATCGATGCAGATATAATTTATGCAAGGGTGCCAATGCTCAATACTGACGTCAATCAGTTTAATGAATCGTGTTTTGCATCACGTAAGGGCATGAAGACTTTATTCATGGTGATTTATATTTTAGTGATTTTTATTCATCAGCACGCGGTTCCGCACAGCTAAGCGGTCTTCGGACGACACATCACGCCTCACGCCGAAGAGAAGAAAAAACACGATATCTAGACTTTAGTTCAATTTTTTTCCTTTCGCACAGCCACCGACACACCCATTCCATAGCTCAGCGCATGACCCCTTTGTTTGTATTCGTGCTTTGACAGCCAGTCTCTTTCCAGCATTGCTCCCATCTGAGCATCTACACCTGTCGTGCCCTGTTCCAGCCGTGCCGCGCCCCCCGGTATCCCCACTCCCCCACTTCTGCTCCCGCCATCACCAGAGGCCCGTTCACCGTCGTCTGACGCTGCCGTACCTCTGTTCCAGCCGTGCCCCGCCTCCCGGTGTCCCCACTCCCCCACTTCTGCTCCCGCCATCACCAGAGGTCCGTTCACCATCGTCTGACGCTGCCGTACCTCTGTTCCAGCCGTGCCCCGCCTCCCGGTGTCCCCACTCCCCCACTTCTGCTCCCGCCATCACCAGAGGCCCGTTCACCGTCGTCTGACGCTGCCGTACCTCTGTTCCAGCCGATCCCCGCCTCCCGGTGTCCCCACTCCCCCACTTCTGCTCTCGCCATCACCAGGGGTCCGTTCACCGTCGTCTGACGCTGCCGTACCTCTGTTCCAGCCGTGCCGCCCCCCCCCCCCCCCCGGTATCCCCCACTCCCCCCACTTCTGCTCTCGCCATCACCAGAGGCCCGTTCACCGTCGTCTGACGCTACCGTACCTCTGTTCCAGCCGTTCCCCGCCCCCCGGTGTCCCCACTCCCCCACTTCTGCTCCCGCCATCACCAGAGGCCCGTTCGCCGTCGTCTGACGCTACCGTACCTCTGTTCCAGCCGTGCCCCGCCTCCCGGTGTCCCCACTCCCCCACTTCTGCTCCCGCCATCACCAGAGGCCCGTTCACCGTCGTCTGACGCTGCCGTACCTCTGTTCCAGCCGATCCCCGCCTCCCGGTGTCCCCACTCCCCCACTTCTGCTCTCGCCATCACCAGGGGTCCGTTCACCGTCGTCTGACGCTGCCGTACCTCTGTTCCAGCCGTGCCGGCCCCCCCCCCCCCCCCCCCCCCCCCCCCCCCCCCCGGTATCCCCACTCCCCCACTTCTGCTCTCGCCATCACCAGAGGCCCGTTCACCGTCGTCTGACGCTACCGTACCTCTGTTCCAGCCGATCCCCCCCCCCCGGTGTCCCCACTCCCCCACTTCTGCTCCCGCCATCACCAGAGGCCCGTTCGCCGTCGTCTGACGCTACCGTACCTCTGTTCCAGCCGATCCCCGCCTCCCGGTGTCCCCACTCCCCCACTTCTGCTCCCGCCATCACCAGAGGCCCGTTCGCCGTCGTCTGACGCTACCGTACCTCTGTTCCAGCCGTGCCCCGCCTTCCGCCGCCACAGGATGCCATCTGTACGCCGCGCTCGACAGTGGTGGCTGTGGCGATCACGGTGGCGCTGGCCCAGCTGGGCCTCGTGCTGGGCGGGCTGGGCCTGTACCGGCTGAAGCGCAGCCGCTGGGCGGCCCAGCTCCGTCCGGTCAGCGCGCCGCCGCCGGCCGGGGACGTCATCTACGCCAGTCCACAGGAGCTGGGCTACGGCCGCGGCTGCGGCGCGCACGAGCTGGGCCTGGGCCGCGGCTACAGTCGCTTCGGTCGCGCGCTGAAGCCTGATTTTCCAGTGCCGCTGCCCCGCGCGAGCACCTGAGCGCCACTTACGGGGCTCGGAGGCGCGCGGAGCGACTGTTCAAACCATTGGCACGTGCCTAGTCAGTAAAACATGAGTGCAGTGTCGACTCCGGCGGCGAAATCAAATCATCGGGACTGCGGTGGTCGCGCATGCGCGCTCGATCTACAGGTGATCCTTGCGCAGTGCCGCTTTTCTAGGTTAGATGCGTTCATTTTGCGCGGTGTTCTGTGTCATCCAGTGCAGTGGGCGCAGTGAGTTAACTGTGTGAACTGTTTCCTTGTGATGATGTGCATTTGTCGTCAACGCTAATGTTCCTACAAGAATCCGTAAAGCGCCTAAATCAGTGACTTGGTCTGCGCAGAGCAGAACTGAGCAATGATGCTGACTGATAGGCGATAATTTAGCTACGGCCTGTAATTACCCTCACCGATTTGAGGCCAAAATCTCCAAGATCACGTCATGGCTCATGCGGTCTAAAAAAGATGGCCGCTTACCAGCACGCATAGTTTGAAGGAAACATCAGTGTTACGGTAAAGGTTACGCCCCGCATTCCCACCGCCACAGCATTGCCTTGAGACTGGCGTCGCATCCCTGACCTGACCTGGGGCCACGACTCGGGACATCTCGCGTGCCCCAGGGGAACTGGGTCCACCGCCCCAGGTCAGGCCAGAACAGGCACACACATCGTGGCGTTTACTCGGCGTTTCATGCTGTGCAGCAGTTTTTGCGCGATTTCCTCTGAATCGATCCCGCAAGTGTTTCGCGCCAGACCAAGAGATACATACATACATATCAACAAACCCCGTGGCGCGTGACGAGACGCACCTGCGGCGGATTCCGGTACCCGGCCCTATTGCACTTGAATCTCATGAAGGGGTGACCTTTGCGCGCCGAACGCTCTTGCGATGCATTTGAATGTTAGAAGATCATCTGCAAACTCGTGGCTTTATGCTGGACCGGCGGGCCGCCACGCCGCCGAAATTTATGGCGCCTTGTCCGGGTGACGGCTGTAAAAATTATGAGAGCGGCAATTGATAACCGGCATTGTCTCTCGTGTTGGAATCGCTTTCACAACGCCCAAATGTTCAAGGTATGCGTCATGTTGTGGTCATCGGATGAGTGGTTTGTTTTGTATCTAGTTAAGTAGCTGAAGAGATTCGGCAAATTTTGTACCATGCATCATGCCCGACATTGGCTGCACGCCTGGCCCAGGCACCGGTACTGGCACATTTTCTGCACGTGTGGCGGTGGTGTTGCGAGCGGCTATCTCCAATATTCTGAATGCCTCGCACAGTTCGTAAATAAAACATTTAGAAGTACTTCGAGCTACGATTCCTCGAGTGAGTTGCGCAGTCGCAAATAAACTTCATTCGTTCCGGTGTGTAGGTGCGTGTGCTCGTAGTTTATACCACGAATACAGCAATACTGCCAGAAACATTCATTGGCCTTGCTTACATGACAGGCGACACGTCTTTTCGTAGATAGACATTTTCAGAAAGCGCCCACTGAGGGCGATAACCACATAGATAACTTATCAAACGACACCATCGCTTTCTAGTTAGCGCATTTGCCACAGAAAAACCTACATGTCTGCTTCCATTATCACAGCCCAAGCCGTGTATCCATTGCAATCCCAGCAAAACGCCGTGACCATGCAGCGGCTGTTGTGCATGACCGACATACCCCTAACGCGGGTAGCATCGTGCGCATATGATCTCAGCGGTGAGCACTAGCAAGGAGAGGGCCACGCCGCCGCAGAGCAACTGAAAAATGGGTGCCGCGCCCCGAAGCCCAAGCCGCAGTTTCACCGGGTGCCTGTCGCCTATCTCACAAGCCAGGCTCTGGTCTGCGATCCCCCAGGCTCGCCGCACCTCGCGAGCTAGCACACCAGTCTCGCGCATGCGCAGCACGTACCAGTTGACCTGGCGGACGTAGCGAAAGTGCTTGCTGAACGCCATGGAGCTGTGCGCGAGGAAAAGGCGTTCGGGCCAGACGCAGAGGGTGCAGCCGTCGGGTGCCTCGCAGCCGGGGCGCGCGGCGAGCACACCCTTGTGAGTGACGACGGCGTGACGTCCGGCCGCACCGACCATTCGGTCCAGACGCCGGCTCAGCTCGGTCTCCGACAGCGACATGTGGGGCTGGCCGCGCGCCGCAAAGGCGGCCGCGCTGCCCGTCAACCCCGGCTGCCCGAAGAAGTCCGTGAAGCAGCCAGCAGAGTCGTAGAGAAAGGTCCAGTTGCGCTCGGCGGCGGCGCGCAGCGAGGCGAAGGGCGGCTCCGCGCTGCGCACGGCCATGTGGCTGAGGAGGACGGCGGAGTAGCAGCTGCCGCCGATCAGCGCCAGCGCGCTGGCCGTGAGGTACAGCAGCGCGGCGGCGCACGACCGCGGCCGGTACGGCACGCTCAGTCGGCCGATCGTGCCGAGCACGAGCAGCGCGCTGGCCGCTCCGTCCGCTGCCCCCGGCCGCGGTGGCGGCGGGCCCACCCGGCCGGCACCACCGGCCAGACGCCCGCGTCGCGGGGCGGCCGCCGCCCGCTCGTCAATGCGGTCCGTCAGCCAGAACAGAGCGCTGAGAGCCGCGGCCAGCGCGCCGACCGTCATCCAGACAGCACCCGAGAAGGGCGAAAGGACGTTGAACGTATAATCGCCAACGACAGGCTTTTTTATGATGATGCTGGCATGCACGTCAACGAGCGGGAGCATGAGGTTGAACCGCTTCCAATTATTGATTGTGTACCAGAGGTCGCGCGCAATGACGTCATGCTGTCCCGTTTCCAGCTCGGCAATGCCCTGCTCCCAGCCTGGCCCTCCTGGCGTCATGAAGAACGGTTCGATCGTGTACTCGAAGCCGAAGTGGGCGGCCAGCGCGTTGAATACGACAGAGAACAGGCCGCCGGTCATGCGACCGCCCCTCAGCGTGATTCGGTCCAGCAACGAGGCCGAGCGCAGAGGGCCGCTGCCGTTCTGTGGCGGCGGTCCGTCGATCATCACGCTGCCGCGTAGGGTGACGCCCCTCAGCTGGCCACCGAAGCCGACGTCGCGGCCACGAGCGGTGCTGTCCAGCGCTGGCCGGCGGTGGATGCGCAGCCGACCGCCGGCGCAGCTGGCCAGCAGGAGGGCGGACGGCCGGCCGGCGAGGCCGCGCCACAGCCGAACCGTCAGGCCGAGCACACCTGGCTCCAGGAGCCCGAGCCGGACGCGTCGCCCCGGCACCGGCTCTGGCTCCGAGCGCTGTCCCTGCCCCGGCTTCGAGCGCTGTCCCTGCTCCGGCTCCGAGCGCTGTCCCCGCTCCAGCTCCGAGCGCTGTCTCTGTTCCGTCTCCGAGCACTGTCCCTGCCCCGGCTCCGAGCGTTGTCCCTGCCCCGGCTCCGAGCGCTGTCCCTGCTCCGTCCCCGAGCGCTGTCCCTGTTCCGTCTCCGAGCGCTGTCCCTGCTCCGTCCCCGAGCGCTGTCCCTGTTCCGTCTCCGGGCGCTGTCCTTGCCCCGGTTCCAGGCGCTGTCCCCGCCCCGGCTCCGAGCGCTGTCCCTGCTCCGGCTCTGGCTCTGTGTCTGACGATGAGCCACGCCGCTCAGGGCTCAGATGACGTTTCCTATCGTGCTCTGAGTCTCCCCATCGGCTTTCCCTCGCTGTTTCTTGCACTGCTGCTGGTTTTAGGCCAATCGACTGTTCATGGTCGTGTTCCCAGTCCCGTTGCGGGCCTAACACTTGTTCTGTCGCCTGGGCCCCCTCTGTCTCCAGCCCCTGACCCTGCTCGGACACGTGAATCCACATAGGTCCTGCCACTTCGCCTTGTCCGTCTGAAAGTGGCCGGAACGAGACCACCAAATCGGCGGCGTTTGTCGGCTTGGTTGTCTCGATGTATGACGTTGTCTGTACAAAGATGGCTCCCGACCACAGCGTGCGAAGCCATTCGCCAATGCGCACACCTGAAATTGAGCTGCGACGTTAATGAACGACTGATATAGAATATGGCTAAGGCGATATCAGGGTGAAACATCGACACACTAGTCAACGGCGGACAATAGTATGGGCCGCAAAATATTGGCATGAGAAAAGTCGAAACGCATAATACCGACACGTAAAATATCGACTCTACAAAATGTCAACATCCCAGAATTTTTAGGGCACGGGCGTCAATAAAACTGAACAGAAATGACAGGGACAAGGCCACTATCTGATAAGGTATTACACCATATCTGATCAAGTATTCCTGATACTTCTTTCAACACGCTGGTTAGAGGCAAAACGCCCCCTCGTTTGGTTAAAAGCATCACATCTTTGGACTGTGGCGCGTAATCGGACCACCTAAAGTACTTACGGCAAGCTCAACGTATTTTCTCGCTTTGGATAATTGCATTTATAGAGGTCTTCGCGTCTAAAGTTGTCAAAAAATGCAAGAATGTTAAAAAGTTTCTCCGCCCCAGCTCGGGACAAGCCACCCCCAGCACTGAAGCGAAGTGCTCTTCCCCTGTTAAAGTTTAACTTTGGCACTTTTCATAGCGATCGTTTCATCGCGTATTGCTCAAGACATCAGCCTTAAGATGTGAGCAATTCAAGCGGTTTTTAGAATGTTCTTGTGCGCCTCTATTTCATGAAAAGCATGAAGGCCATACAAGAGGAGGCTCTTCAAAGAAATGGAAACGAAGGAAGAGCGTCTCATAAAGTGTTCCCTATTCACGGTTTATGTGCTTGATGCATGCGTATGATCTGTTCAATGAGCACATAATATACTCTGGTAAAAATATCGTTCACCTGCCATTCCCTGTTGTCTGATGCTGTGCAGCTCACACAACACAAAGGTCTGTGATGCATCGTTCTTCTTAAGCAATCAATTTTGTTGCGCTTCACACTCTTATAAAGAACACAAAGCTCAAAACATAAATAATGTCACGATCTCCAACAAGGCTCAAGACGTCTCTCAACTCGTCCCTGATCACAGAACACTGAAACTGAACCCAGTGGCAAGAACAAACTGAAACTTCGGCACAACAGTGCTCACTTGTCGCCCTTCAGCCTCCACTTTTATCCCTGCAGAAGTCATACACAGAATAAATTTATTCTTATTAGTTCGCGCACTTAATCCGGGATTCGCAAGGCAAGGGATACAGCGCACAACAGACAAAGCACGTGGTGTCTGCCATGTAAAAGAGCTTAAATCCAAGCAGATACTAAAATTAAGAAGTGAGTTGCCGGCGACGGGCCAGCTTGTCCCAAATAAAACAAAAATTGGATTTGGCTTCGGACCAGCGGCGGTTTTTCAGGAGCACTGCACGGCAATCTGCCGCATGCCGTACATTGCCGTGAAGTACGGGTGAAGAACCTTGCCTATGAGCCAGAGGTAAGGTCAGATCAACTTCAATGACCAGCCCAAATCCAAGACTGTCAAATAAAAAAGACGACGTACGGGCACACATTAGGTTTTGGGGTCAATTATCGGATCAATTTTCTGCGGGCTGACACAGCTCTCTGTTCTGCGCATGGACTCTTCGCTCCCAGCGCCTCAATCTGACTTGGTCCTTCCTGATCGAAATCGTATGTTCAAACCATATATTCATAACAAATAACTTCGTAAATGAACACTGGCGGCCGTCGCGCGCCCTCCGCGGCATCGTCGGTCGCCGCCCGCCGCCCGCACATGCCGTAGATTGCCGTGCAGTGTTCCCGAAAAACCGCCGCTGCTCCGAAGCCACAGATGCTGGGGACACGTTTTGATGTAAAAACACGCGCATTGGACGACCCATAGACTACTGAAAATTTAGGCCATGAAATAGGAGGCCCCGCTATGAACTAGGAGGCCCAGGACCCCAGTTTTGAAATAGCAGGCCCGTTATGAACTAGGAGGCCGCCGTTAAAAACTAGGAGACCCCGTAATAAACAAGGAATTCCAAGTTATGAACTAGGAATCACACGCTATGAACTAGCTAGAACTAGAGCTAGTGGAGGGTGTATACAAAGTCAGGACAAAAGTGCGTAGGGGAAAGCCTTAAAAAGCCCCATCCCCAACTTATTTCAGCTTACCACTTTTCTTAGGTGGTACATTCCCTTTAGGAGTAGCGTCCCACCTTTGGGAAATATTTCAAAAACCTACTCTAGTAGAACCTCAGCACTAGTTACGTCTCATAATAGCCCAGGGTAGCGCCACTGTAGCATCATCGAGACATAATGATACCAAACATAATTATTATCGAGTCCAAATTACGCTGTCAAGGCTTTGTAACAGCACTACGCTTCTTCCCTCCAGTCGAGGCCACCATTGTCATGACAACCACCATGCACACCTCTACGGGTGGAAATAGCAGAACATTTGGGATTAACCCAGCGGGCAAGGAAACGTTGCCGAGA